GGTCTATATTAAGTAGCTTCTCTTAAACTTTCTGCTTCTGTTTGCCATGCTATTTAGAGTTTTATTTCATATTAAGCATGTTTATTGCACAAGCTGTGTTCCGTATGCATCTGTTGCCCACAGTAGCCATGCACTCCCCCCTATTCCAGTTCAGAACGTTATGTCCTTGATGCTCTTCCAGTTTCACCTCCAGCCAGTACCCATCCCAAACCCTCCCCTCTTCCTTGCCACTTGTCCCTTGAGGGGAGCCCTCATCAATCTCCAGATACGAATCCCCATGCACCTGTGCCTTTCTTTGCACAAGCTGTTTACTCAGGCTGTACACCCTTCCTCCACATCCTCCATCTGGGAAACTCTGGGTCTTCATTCACAAGCCAGACAAACCTCACCCTCATCAGGAACTCCCCCACCCCCAGCCACCCTTAGAATCATTGATCTTTGATGCCTCCGTGTCCCTAGAGCACTTTGCACATTGCATCACCTTACATCATATTTGAGCCCAAGTTTATCCCTCTGAGTGAATCAAGGGAAAATAAAGAGGAAGCACGGATATTTATAAATCTCTCAAGAGGCAAGAATGTCAATAATGCTTTACATATGCAAAGATTTCAGAAACTTGCGTGAGTAGGGGATGGAAGTCGAGGGGGTCTGGAAAGTGTCCTTGTAAGGCACTGCAGTTCCAGCCCTGTAGATGGAGACTGATTCCCCTGGAGTGGGAGACAGGGGGACGGGGTCAGGGAAAGGGTTACAACGTGTCTTTCTTTTACAACACATCACACAAGCATAAGGCTGATGCTCCTCCTGCGTCAGTGGAAATAAATACTGGGCCAAGACATCTTGCTCGGCCATTGTTTTGCTAGGTCAACCCGGAGCTTTCTCTGAGGTTTAAATGATGTTTTGTTAAGTACTTTTAACAGGGAAACATATAGAAGGCATGAAGCAGTTACATTTAGGGGGACAAATTTGCCTTGATTCAAACACTTGTTTCTGTGAAAAAAATTTTTTTCTTTCCTTGTTTGCAAATTGCTTGTAGGAGCTGACGTCCAGGAAAGAGACAAAAGGGAGCTACTTCACGCTAGACCTTTGCCCCTGAGCCTGGCTGAGCCCCTGGGGAGAAGGCTGCCCCCTCTGCTGTCCCACCCCTGCTCTGCCATCTTGGGAGCAACAAGGCTGGGCAGCCTGAGCTCCTTATCTGGGATCTCATGGGGGACAGATCAGCAGGGGCCCCAGAGAGAAAACTGAAGGACAAGGAAGGTCATAGGACTAAGAAGTAGCGACTGGGCTTTCCTGCAGCCTTGGGAGATACACAACATGTACAGGGTTGTTGCTGCTGTTTTACAGATGAGGAACTGGAAACCCAGAAAGGTCAATCCATGTTTTATTCTTATTTGCATGTCCAATGATCAGCCCTTTGAGAAGATCCCAATCTGATGGGGAAAAATATCAAACTCTCAATAATATATGGCAGGCATCCATACTAGCATTAACAATTATTAGCAATAATAACCATAAAATCAATAACGCTGTTATTATATCACATAGTGTGGACTCAGGGAGACACAGAAAACACTCTAGGGAAAAGAGAGGAAAAAATAATTCCAACTCTGGGTATCAGGGAGAAGTTTTTGAAGGAAGGATATAAAACACCATCTTTCCTTACCTGTTATGTTTACTGCTGCTGTGTAGCACGCTCACTAGGATGTCAGCTTCATGAAGGCAGGACCTTGTTGATTTTGTCAAATCTTTATTGCGAGTGCTTGAAACAGAGCCTGGAACATCATAGGTTCTCAAGAAATCCTTGTGAAATAAAGAAGGAAGTGTTCCCACCCATCTCCTAAGGATTCCCTCTGCCCTACAGGCAGCAAGAAGTTCCTTTCAAGAGAAACTAGCCCATCTTTCAGAGGGGAATCTGGCATCCTTGTCTGAGAAGGCAACTTTCAAGCTGATAATTGAATGATAAGATTGAGTTAAGGAGAGCAGCCTGTTCTTCCACGGATTCCTTGTCCTCGCTCTATGGCCTTCAGGTGGAATCAGTCTTGTGGATTGAATTGGAAGAAATTCATTCATCATGTTAATCCGAGCTAAAAATACTAAAAGGTCATGATGCCTGCCCCCTAATTCTAGATTCTCGAATTCCATGCTCCTCTCCTTTCCAAAAACAAATTCCATCTGTTCTTTTTCTTGCTCAGATTCCAAGCAAACTTTGGGAAGCAGGACCTGAACCTCCAAGCTTCAGTGAGTGCTCTGCTCTTTGCCAGGCTTTGGGTGCCCTCTGCAGCCATGTGAGCCTCTGTCTCTACCACCAGCACTGCCCTAGGCCTGCAGCCCAGGGAGGGGTCTCCCTGCAGCTGTAGCTCTGCAGCCACAGGCTGCACTGCCTGTTTCCCTGGGTGGAGGAGATGGTAATAGAGCAGTGGAGAGGGCCTATGAGCTTGGACAAACTAGTTACAGATGCCCCAGGGCAGCAGCCTGCTGCAACAGAAAGGCCTCCAGCTTAGGAACGTGTGAGCCAATATTCATTTAGCACCTGCTATGAGTCAAATACCCATTCACTCATTCATTCACTAATCAAATTTTGATTAAAGGCCTCCCAGGTGCCAGGGCACTGGAATGCAGAAGAGGAAAGCAAGCCGAAAAACAAAAACAAATTCCTGCCTTCACGAAGTTGATAGTCTAGCGAGGAAAGACAATAAATAAGATAAATAAGTAAAACAGCCAGTAGGTTAGATAGTGGTAATTGCTGAGGAGAAGATATGAAGCAGGACGAGGGCTATGAAGGTTCCCGGTAGGGGTGGGAGCAGGGGAGCTTAAGATCAAGTGTCTATGGAAAGCCTGGCTAAGAAGGCAACGTTGCAATACGGACCCTCAGGAAGGAAGGAGAGAGACTTGCAGCTACCAGAGGAAGGGTATGGGGAAGAGGGAACAGCCAATGCAATGGCCTGGGGGCAGTAGTGTGCTGTGTGTTGAAGGAACAGAAAAGCAGCCTGTGCATCACGGCAGGAGAGAACAAGGAGGGAGGTTGGTGGTGTACAAGGGAAAGAAGTAGATTAGGTGGGAGACGTGACAAGGGGCCAGATGAAGAAACTCTTGCAGGTGATCATAAGGAGGAGATGACGAGCTTCAGAGCCCAATCCAAGCTCTAAGGTGAACTCAGGTATGTTGCTTAACCAGTCTCCTCAGCCATGAGACGTGGATGATCACACTGGCTCATAGGATTAGCAAAGTGCCTGTCCCACAGTTGGATGCTGAATGGATGTCCAATGAATGCTCTTGTCCCTAGTTGCCTGTGTACATTCCTCCACATTTCACATTTGCTCAGTGATTTGAGAATCTCTGAAATACAGGCCTGAGGCATATTTGGAAATCGGTTTCAAATTGCCCTCCACTTCTGCCCTCTGTTCATTCTGTGCCTGGATGCCTCCTGCTTCCCCGTCAAGACTTACTGTCTCTCCCTCAAGGTGCTGTTCTTAGACATCAGCCAGCATGAGTATCTTCAACAGCATCTCCACTGACATTTTAAAGGAAAGTACCTTCCATCGAAGGGGAAGACCTGGAAGGGGAGACGACGGAAGGAGTGCTGGGGTTTTTCACTTATTAGAGACATCATTTTGGTCAAACACAAACTCCGTGAACCTTAGATTCTTTAGCCATCAGATGGTCCTATCTTACAGAGCTTGGTAAGGGTCCGATAGGATAACGGATGTGAGCACCATTTATAATCTGTGATAACGGCAATGTGCATTTACTCAACATTTTTACATCAATTTCAGATTTCAGAGACTCAACATGTTTGCATAAAATTAGGGCTGGATTTAAGTCTTGGATTTGTCACCAATGATCTTGGAAATAGGGGACTAATTTCTTAAGCTTCCCAGGGTCTCTGTCTAAATTGAGGGAAATAATATCTGCTTTCCCTACTTCACAGACTTGACTGGAACAATGAATGTAAAGGACCTTTAAAAAAACATAGGATATAAACTTGTGAAGAATGTGTTTAAGCTGATAGTTTCAACTCACATTTTTAACTCTAAGTCGCATAATTATGAACTCCTTTTGTTTGTGGGCCCTGAACATCACTCATATGCAAAATCCTTGATGCCACATGGGATACCCAAGACTGTGGTTTCTCATGATCCCACTGAGACTGGAATTAGGAACCCAAGGTAGCTCCAGGGGCTGGTTACCCTGTTGCCCCTCTACGATCAAAGCCGCCTCTCACTAGTGTTCTCCTTTGTTGTGACTCAGCTACCTGCTCGGGCTGAGTATCTTTCAGCTGCTCCTGTTACAAAGACCTGGTGCTCACTACATTCTCCAGTTTAGAATCTAGAGATATCCTTATTGGTTTGGCTGATTTACCCCATCCCTGTTCTGTCTCTCTACCACGGGTCACTGGCCAGTGTACAGAAGCTCTGTCCTTGGCTCAGTTGTCCATCCCTGGTCCTATGAGCTGTGATTGGTGGGAGCAGGGTCAAGTGGTGTAGACACTATGCCACATCAACTACAGAACAGCCTGAGGGCTCCTTTTCTGTCAGGAGCTAGAGTCATGGGTGGTTTCTGCTGGAAACAGCCAGTGGGCGTGGCACTCATCATGACCAACCTTTCAGTGTAGCAGGAAACAATAGCTCTCCCTCTCACAGTGTGCTGCTTCTGATCCTCCAGACGTATTCAGCCAATCCGCCATCCAGAGACCAAGAACTCATCCCTCTAGAGGCATTTTGAATGAGCAGCTCTGATTGTTAAAAAGTCCAAGTAATAAGGGTGCACTGAACATAGGGATGAAGACCTGAGTTTTCCATTCTGTGAACCGATCCTCCTAGGGTCCAGTTTCGAGACCTCCCTGTCCTGTTCAGCCCCCCAGGATACCTTGGGCCCTTCCTATAGTGTGAATCCCAGGAATAACAACCACACTCCAGATGTCCCCTGGCCAAACGTGGAATTAATTCTTTCAGCCCTAAGTGTACTCCTAAAGAGGGGCTGCAGTACATTCCATAAACACAAAGTCCTGGCAAAACAAAGTCAAAGGATTTTTTTATTATTGTTGTTGTTTCTCATTTATACACATCACGAGCTACACAAAATGCCAACCAAAGAGCAAAGGTAGAAAAATAGTAGAATTATATTGTCATGAATGACTTTGTTACAACTATTGTTGTTTTACAGACAATTTGCAAGGGTGTGCAGGAAATTGTACTTATTGTATACAGATATTGTCACCAGAGTAAATACGCATTAGGAATTCACAGTGGCATCAAACTGTACATTCAGGCTCTTTTTCAGAGAAAGGGACCATGCCAAAGACCCTGCCTCTCTTTACCTTCTACAGTGTAGGAGGTCACATTGGAAAACTAAACTAGAATAAAATAAAATAAAATAAATTCCAGAGCCCTGCACTGTCTGATCAATAATCACAAGCCACAGGCTAATTCTCTTGGTCAAGTCTGAGTGTGGTAATGCTTATGGACACGATGCATGTGCCTTTTATATATTTGACAATCTGTTTCTATTAATTTGAAAAGAAGCAGAATGATTAGTCAGAGAGCATCCAAAGACTTTGTGCGACAGACAGGTAATATGCTACTGAAGAGGAGGTGCTTCCTGACCGTAATATGCACCATTCATCTTCTCCTGTGGCAAATTTCCTAACTTGACACTGGTCTGGGGATGGTAGCCCCAATGACTCTCTTAAGTCCTATCTGAGAGGCATAGCTGAGATCACTGTGGCATCTCACCTGGGCAGGTGTTCTGGTCCAGACCCAATGAGATGCTGAAACTCTGATACCAGGAATGTGATTTGTTTTAGGAGGTGCTGGGATGATGATATTCTCAATATTTCTCATCTGCTCTCCTAATTTTTCTACGTATGCGGACATTCTTTTGTTTATGGAGGTGTCCACACCCCCCACCAGATTATAAATTCTTGAAGGGCAGGGTCCTGTCTGATTAGTTTCTGTAGCCACTAGCGCTTAGCACAGAACCAGGCAGAGACTAAATAAACACTGCTTAAAAAGAAACGCATTCAAGTATCAAGTTATTGGAAAACGGTGAATGGAGGTAAAATCACAGACTTTCATATTAAGTTACATACAGAGAAGAGGGTATGTGGGACAGAGTGAGGTGCTCTCTTTACAGGAAAAATAAAAAAAACAGGCAAAGGCATATGCATAGATTATTGGACATACCTGGACTACTATTAAACTTTCCAGGAGCAAGAAGGATGAAGCGGGGTTTTTTGCCACATGCAGTAATTTTAACTTTGGGCTAAAAGATATTTCAAGACATCTTTTCAATTCAATGCAATAAAAAGATTCTGAGTGATATTTGCAGAATTCAAACTTCCAAACATCTTAAGTTAGATGTAATATTGTTCTCAGCTGTGTGTCAAGTTTCATCCTTTCCTCCACTCTCAACTTGACAATGGCTTATGCTATACCCTGAGCAGGAAAATCATTTTACTACATAGGTCATCCAGTCATGCCCTGAACTGAGCTGGGAAACTCCAGTTTGGAGGCTTCTGGGGTCAGAATGGAATATTCTAAATGCTGGAAACTTAAGCCTAAAGTTTCAACCAAGGGAATCTCCCTGAAGCCATCGTGTATGAACCACTTTGAGGCCATGTAGACAGGTTCTTAATTTATTTCAAAGAAAATTTCCTATGGCCAAACTTTTCTGATAAAATATTCCTAAGGTACACACACCTGTCCCCCTGCCAAATTTTAAATCACCTACCCTACGCAGGTACTGTTCCAGACACTACTTTTCATTTCTCATCCACACCCACCAACTATCTTTCAAAGTAGATATTTTCAAATCTATATTATAGATGAGAAAATTTGACCCTACTCTCATTGGCTTGAAAGCATGTCCCAGAGATATAGTTCCCATTACAGAAAACTACCACTATGCTATGATGTCTTATTTCATGAAGCTACTTTCCTCTTGCAAATTCAGAAGCTTAGAAGGTAACCATAAACTAACGTCAAGCCCTTTCTGCATCAGAATCCGTGGTTGTGGACTGGCCGAGGGGCTAGAGAAGAAAACAAGAGCTTTCAAAGAACTGACCCTCCTCCGCATATATGGACTGAACCCCAACTCTGTGCCAGGCAATGGGTGGAGAAGCAGGGATACATGGATAAATTAGACGCGGTTCTCACTCTCAAGAAGTACATATTCATATGTGGGAGACCTCCAAGGACACAGACAAAAACATTGTGATGAGGAATGAGAAAGGAGTGGGTATATGGGACCATGAGAAAACTTAGCTCTAATGGCAAGACATGGAGCTCAGATTCATCCTGCAACAGGAATCTACAATCCATGAACCATTTAGCGCAGATTCAAAACTTATAGTACAGGGAATTGATTTCTAGATGAATATGACCAGTCATTCCAACATGGGACTAGCAAAAAGAGACAGGAGGTCTAGAGGGAAGAGCATGATGTAGGACAGCTATGGAAGGAAAAGCCTTACGGTTTGGGGAAAAGCAGCTTTGGGCTGGTAGACGAATGAGAATCTTGAGACACAGAAACATAGATAATAAGCCAAGAATGGAACACGTCATCCAATTACCCAATTATGCATATTGACAATGCTTTATAAAATCACCTTTCTCACGGAATTATGTTTTCCTTTGTTATCTAATTTATTGGTAATGTAAGTGTGTCATACAGGAATATGTTATACTAGAAAGCTCATAAGATTATGGTTTAGGAGAAGTCGACTTGAGCCCTGGCTATGATTTTAACAAGATGTGTGACTTTTGCTCACAAAGTATTAACTTCTCTGGGTTGGAGGAATCCTAGCATAACAGATAAAATGCAGGCTCAGGGCTCATATCTTGACCCCATCATTGCTAAGCTGTGTGACATTAGTCAAGTAACTTGATTTCTCTCAGCATCATTTGTATGTTGTATGGGTTTTAAACATTATATGAATCATATATGCAAAATATATAGCAAATAAAAGGTAGCATTGTATGTCATTTACATTCATTAGCTCCTTTGTTTGCTAAAAACGAGATAAATGAGAGTCCAGGTTTGTTTTACCTCTAACAATCTCTGAATCTGTGTAGAGTCATGAATTTTTGGGTTTCAGGACTGTTTTAAAGCGATAAAATCACATCCATGAAATAAAAACACCCACATTCTCTATTTTATAACTTATCTGTGAAAAGGTCAAATAAAGAGAAATAATCTGTTTTAGAGATTAACAAAGCATGACCCAGCAGCATCCATACATTTACATTTGGTCTCAAAGTCCAGTTCTATATATTAAGGACATTCCTTCGTGTGACAGAAGGCACTGGGGCCCTTTTCCCCAAAATTAAAATTGGTCTACAGAGTTTGGCCCATTGACAAGTAAAGTGCATTGTTACCATTCAACGTGAAAAGAAGTGGGAAGAGTTCAGCTTTTCTTTTCTAGATTTTTGATAGTGTTTTCTATTGAGACATCTCTAGCATTACAGGTAATGCTGATGTACAATGTGAAGAAAGTTAGAAAAAAGTAAAAAGAAAAAGGAAAGAAGGAAGAGATACAGAAAGACTTGAGAAGGCACCTTAAAGGTCTTGAAAATCTTCATGGGGGCAGCTCTTTATCTAAATGAAGAAAGCATGCATGTGCTATTGCCAGTAATGTCGCCACGTTGCACTCTAGCTTTGTCACTAGATGGAGACCCTTGTGGTCAGTGGAGGTGGGAGGAAGACAGCTCAAGATGCTAAACATCACATATAATCTATTAAACATCCATCGTTCCTCTTCCAATTCTGAGATCCCATGATTTTAACTTAAAAGCTAGCACTTAAAAATAAAACGCTGTTTTATTATCTTTCCAGATCCTCTTACTGTTAGGATGATATGATTTATGTCAATATCTCTATAGTCTCGTATAATACCCAGAACAAAATAGATGATTGATAAAACATGGAAAGAATAAGTGAAGAATAGGAAGCAAACAAACAAAATTGATGCAGATATTAGCATGTGGGTCTTGACTCTATCAATTAAATAATAATATCCATCCTTCCTAAGGATTTCGGGGTGGATATCTTACAAGAATAATGTAAGAAAACACAGCTCTTTTTCTACATGCTCACTGCTGTCCTTTTTTACACAACCCCTGCAACTGTACACAGCAGCGCTGGTTGTTGCCAACGCTCAGAAGTATACTGTGAAACCAAAACAAACAACGTGGCAAATAAAAAGTGGCAAGTATATCTGGGGGCTTGCAAATACCTAAGAGCAGAGTTTCAATTCAATAGCCATGTCTTGGAGAGATACCATCATCTCACGCAAGTGAGGGCTAACTGAATATTCTGTCACGCCTCGCACTTTTAAATGTTTTTATTCCTTAACAGAATTACCGGGGTCACATGCTACTATTTCTAGTTTGTTCTGCCCCATTCTTGTGCTGTTGGTGGTCCACCCCCATGCACTCCTGTCAGGGCTCATCTGAACCCCGCCCTGGCCACCCTCACCATGCTTCTGATTTCTGTTCACCACCCTCCCTTCCATCAGGAGGGGGTGTTTTGTTTCTGTGTGTTTGTTTTTGCTCTTTGACCAACACCTGGTTCATAGCAGGCTGTCAGGAAATATTCGTGAATGAAGGATTGTAGTTTTGAGCAGGTTACCTCAGCCTCATGGGGTTACAGATTGCTCAGCTGTAACCTGAGGATTTCATACGCTCCTTTCCTGGGTAAAATCACATGATCCAAGCACAGTGAGTGTGGTCACCCCAAACACCAATACAGGAATTTCACTTGATTGCTTCCATACATAAAAAATAAAAAGAAGGAAATAGTAATACTAATAATGACACTAATAGTAACAATAATTTAAACCAAATCCCTGAACGCTTTCCTTGGCCAGGTCATGTGAAGCCATTTGCTCTAGCTTTTCTCCATGAGAAGTCCAGCAGACACGTCTACTATGCTCCTCAGAGGGAGATTTCAAAGTGAGTGGTGGTGAAGATATGCAGCACTGGACTTTTCACAAGATGGGAGGATCAGGTCTGTCCTACAAACTAACCCTGGAGAGGGATGTCATGACAGGGGTGGGCTTTGGTCTCCCACAGGACACTCATTTCTATGAGGAAATTTTCCTGCTGGTGGAAATGATGGAAATTTCCTCCTGAAATTAGAAGAAAATCCCACATGGTGGCTGACTTCTCACACCTTCTTTTTGTCACTTGTACCCAGACATATCCTCCATCTGCCTGTCCAGTGTCCCAAAGGTTGCTGGCTGTCTCTATCACCTTGAGCCTTTTACTCATCTGTTTCCTCTCCGTGGGCTCCTCACCACCCACCCTCCACCCAGACAACTGTTCTTCAGCGTTTGTGTCTGGACTTAGCCGTCAAGTCTCCCACGACGCCGTTCCTGACCACACATTGCCCCACAGCCCCAGTGTAGGTTGGATCTCCCTCCTCTGAGCACCCGTCAGATCCACTTCCACGGAGGCACCACTTCCATGCCTACCTATTTTAACTGCCCATTTGATAGGCTGTATTCCTTGCTAGACTGCAAGCTACTGAATGTTACCAATACATCCCTGGCATACAGTATGTTGCTATGATGTATCTGTTGAATGAATGAATGAAAGAATGAATAGATGAATTGATAAATGAGTGCACTTGGTGGTGACAGGCTGTGCCAGGCAAATATCTTACTTGTACATTCTCACTTTCAAGGCTCCCTTCTCAGCTTTCTCCACACAATGAGGACCGGGCTTCTAGAACCACCTTGCACCTGCCCATACCTCATTAAAGCCCTCATTATATCAGATTGTGATAACAAGGCTGGATCTCCCTTGCATTCTTTGAGGGCAGCGACTGTGTGTCTTATCCCTGTGCTCCAACCTGGTACAGATGGACGTTGCTCAGTAAATATTTGTGGGCTGTAGAAACTAACAGGAGACCATCCTCTCTCCATTTCTCCCAGGTTCATAGCACTCCAGCTGCTGTCAACCTGCCATTGAGGTACTGATTTTGCCCCAAGGTGACTTTAGTTTCACATCTGCTTCTCTGTTTGTATTGGGCTTGTGAACAACAAATTCCAACTAATTTCAGTGTTAGTAATTTTTATTTCTAACTGTTTCTGAGAAACTTAACAAATCATAGAAACAAAAATTATGTAGAGAATGAAGACATACTAGGTAATTATCTTGGCAGGCATTTTGTTTACAATTTTTATAATCAATAATAGAATGTCCCTGTTTTATATTATATATATATTTTTATGTATATATTAGATATCTATACTTCAATAGAAAGAGACATAAAAAAGCCTTTTCAAATGAGGCATGACACACATTACTTGACACTCTTATTTACAATATAGAGATGTACTTTCTACACAATTATAATAGATGCTCAGAGGCCAGAGAGGGTTTACAAAGACAGCAGAGCACCCCTATAAAAAAGAGGTGCACCATGCAGCTGGACGTTTATTGCCATTAGTTCTCACTATGTCCAGACAGCATATTGAAGTTAAAAATGGCATCTGGTATTGGAAAAGACGATGATCATCAGATTCACCCTGGCTCCATAACCGCTGGCTACATGGTCTTTCAAATGACCAGGGAAGGACGAACTTAGCCGATGGGAATTGGAAACACAGGATGAAATGCTCTCATCAGAGGGGCAGGACTCCTCATTTGGCCAAAAAGGAGAAGTTGCTACAAACGTATGGTCATGCACTGAGTATGGGCACTTGTCTAGGCCAGGAAACACAGCAACACGGGCTGCACTACCAGGAACCAAATTCCTCCTGAATTATATAGTGGATTGGTGCTGTTAATGAGTGACCAGAGTCTGTGCCCACCATGAACTTGGAAAAATACCTAGGGGACGTACTGATTCCATACGAGTAAAGACTAGGATACAATGAAAGCTTAGAGAAGACCCACAGAGAAACCTAAATCTGTTGAGTGGAAGTCCACCTTTGAAGAACATTCAACTCCCTCCCCTCCTTTTCTCTTCTTAAGAAATCCACAAGTCTCCTGTCCTGCAAAGTTGCCTGCCTGGATTTATTTCCCATGGTCTGCATTTGTTTTGCAAAGCCACACTGTTAATACGTGAGGAACTAAAATTCTCAGATGAATCTAGAATTACTTGGCTTATTACCATGGCATTGATGACCTAAGGTCATGGTCCAGGTGCTAGGACCAGTAATCTCCACTTCAGAAGGGACTTTCTGCAGAAGCAGAAGCTTCGGCCTCCAGAAGACTGGTCTCTCACGTTAGTGATCTCTGTTGTCCTGGTTCATGCATCCCTTCAGTACAAACAAATGATTCTCTAGGCTTCCTTTAGCCCATGGAGTGTGCTCAGTCTTTGGGACTGTATTGCACGTCACGGTAATCTCCAAAACTTCCCCTGAAGACACTTACCAAGAATAAGTTGAGTCTTCCGCCTGCATGTTGTTCTCCTCTCTCATCTCACACATGTCCTGTCGTCTAGTGGTTTTTATCAGTGCTGGCCTTCCCTAGCCCTTTAGTTTCCTAAGGCAAGAAGACATTTCTATTGAAAGTTAACCAGCACCCTTCTAAGAGCTCCCCTGAGGTTTTTAATCCAGCACTCCTCCATTGAGATGTCTTTCTCCCTCTGCGGAGAGGAGAAGCAGCTGGCCATGTTAACGGTTTGAAGATTTTGCAATTGCATCAAATGCTAACATAGCATTTCTTTGGAAGGATACCAGCAGGAGCTTCACACAGGTGTGCATTAATCTCAGTGCCCCCTTCTGCTAGGTTTAGTCTAAGTCAATTTGCCCTACTACACACAGAGATGTAAGCAAACACAAAATCATTTGTGGACCAGGGCTGTGCATAGAAAAAGTCTGGAGAAGTAGGTGGATCAACTAGTTCACCATGTTCCCTTTACTTTTTTTCTTTGTAACAAACTGGCACTTACCAATAGTGTCACCTTTATCTCCCATACCTTAAGTCACCCCACCCACTGCTGTTACGAAATAAAACTGGAGTTTATAAAGCATTCCTTTGCCCCTTGTTGAGAAAATACGAGGAGAGAATGAGTATGGGCATCACATTGTCTTGAATGAGTGGCACGTTTGAATCTATTAAGGATTATATTTACACAAATATGTTCCACTTCTGCACAGAGGTTAACCTGAGTTCTGAAATGCTTGTCTGCACTTAATTTAATCAAAAATGATAAAGCTATGAGCTAGTAACATACTGAACAAATCTAGTTACATTGGAGTGATCTCTCTGTGAGCCAGTAGTGGTTAAAAAGGTGGGCTCACCAACTCCAAGTATTCCGTTTCTTTATTTTCTCATATTTTTCCTAGAAAGCATCTTAAATGAGACTCCAGGTGGCTAGACAGGTTCAGGCAAAGTCTCTTGTCTTTTACAATATTGGTTCGGCTTTCCCAAATCTCCAAAATGAAAGCACCTCGAACGTCCATTCCCTCCCCACCCTCACCCCTCAGCGCCTTCCCCTCTAAGCTCCACCTGGAACGGTGGAGGTCTATAAAAGGATGTCTCAGCTAAAGCTCTCATCAATCTTAAACTTTTCTGGGGAGCTCCCCAAGGCCCGCTCCCTCAAAGCCACTACTTGAAGTAATTGAGTCCCGCCACCAAGAAGAACTTCTCCAGGAAGAGTTCCGAGTCCAGCACAGCAATGTGAGCCGCTCGGCCGATCAGGGTGTTGGCAGTGTTGGGCAGGGCGTGGAACACGTTGTGTCGAATTAAAGTGCAGTCCTTGGCTTCAACCAGTGGGCGGAGAAGGTTGTTGATCATTTCTGCGTAAACCGGCCCTGCAAGAAGCGGAAAAGGATACGAAATCAGTGCAGAACTTAGCAGTGGAATCCAGAGAAAAACACTGCCTGTGTGTGAGGCTCCTATTCCTTGACAGAACTACTAACGTTCCCTAACAGGTGTCATCAATTTCATGAATTTACTTCCACTTTTAAATTAAAAAAATAAAACTAAAGGCGGCTTACCTGTGTGTCTGTCTTTGAGGGCAGTTTTACACATTTCGATCCTGGCTGAATGAAATGGCACATAGCGGTCTTGGGGAGAAGCAACCAGCACGACGTTTTTAAAATACTGCAGACCTGCAACAAGCCAGTTGGGTGCTTGTTACCCAGGTAGTTTCAACTTACATCCTCCGGTTTGCACACATTTTACAAACTTGCCACAGAGAGAGGCAAAACGAGAAGATACCAGACACACTGGTTGTGTTGTTGCATGAGGACCTTCTGGTCTGAAAAGTTAAGAAAATAATTTGCTACACTGGAGTTTTTGTACCTTAGAGGGAAGATGAAGGCTTTGTTCTCATCAGCCATGAAAGCTAAGGAGATCCTTAGCAAGCTCCTCGGAACAGTGACAGATAAGCAACGTCTAAGTGATGAAGAAGCCTTTCTGGGCCAGGTATATGAAGGAGTCCACAAGGAAGTAAATCTAGCATTTTACTCCTCCTCGTCAACCCTGACAGCTCTCTTAATTACAGTCCTCATCATGTCACCTGCTACAGGAAAACAGCCTCTGAACTCACCTCCTTGGGTGTAGTCTTGCCTTCCTGCAATCAGTTTCCCACACTGAGACTGAAAGATCTTCCAAGTTAAACATCACAGCATATTCCTTCAGTCCTCATAGCCCACCTCCAGCCCACCTCCAGGTGCTGCAATGTGCCACTTAGGTCCTCCATCTGGACTGTCTCAGCCCCAGCTCCCTTCAGGGGGTTGCCTCCAATGAAATGAGTCTTCTCATCCAAGAGCACATCCCAAGACCACACTTTGGGAGCCAGCCTGTCTCAATGACAGGCAGATACAGGGTGGGGGGTACAAAGACTGACTTGCCCTATTTCAGGATATCTCTGTAGGGTCATGGTCCCCATGGGCGGGGCTTGCTGAGGTCTCTGTAGTGACCACATTGGAAGTCCAACTTCCCCCTCTGCCCAATCCTGCTTCCCTCACTTCCCCATGGGGGATAAGCCTGAGAGCTCAACTTAATGCACAGAGACACAAGGTGGGAAAGGAACTTGCCGAAGTTTATACATCAGCCTGTGGCCATGCCAGACTCACATGTGCGGAGGAGCAGAGACATCAACAGAATTAGTGCTTATAATTGATGGAAGATTGTGGACCATGGGAAAACACTCGGGCCAGACTGGCTTGCTCGGCAGGACTGAACAACCCAATTGGTCAATCCCGCTGCTCTCTTGCTGGACATGGAGACCACTGTTGTCCTCTGCTCCTTCTCATGACAGGCAGGGTCTTCAACACCTCTGTGTACTTCCTCATTACAGAGGTGGGTGAAGGTGTAATATCACGCCTGCCTAAGAAGGACTCCTTCTCCCCCTGCACTGTCAGCATAAATGGACAGTGTTTATCTGCCCTTTTTATAGGTGGATCTGAACCTGGGTGAAGGAGCTGTGATTTGGCACACGGACTGTGGGACTATGTGATTAGGATATTAAAAGATTCGTGGGAAGTAGAGGCTGCAGTTTCCGTGTGTCGAATTGATGCGCTATACGCACAATGGCTCTCATCTGTGAATCATTCACATGCCGTGGCGGAGACAGGCCAGGAGCAGCTGAGCTCTTGGGTAGCTGTGGGCCTCCCAATGAGTTAACGAGGCTCTGCATGCTGCACCTCCTGAGTGTCCCCTTTTATGAGCGAATCAATAAAGCATTGAAGGGAATCTGGGTCTCAGGGGTTGGGTCTTCAGCTCACACTCATGACTCAGCTGCATGCTGCAGAGGAAGCCACTCACCTGTTTTTTGGCTTAGTTGGTAGAGGAAACATTTGCGCAGATCAGCATTATCCCTGAAGGTCAGCTGCAAAAGGGACCCGGATTTCTTCAGTTTCTGCATGAGCCACAAGCCTAGAATAGCAAGAACAAAACAAAACAAAAATCAAACACATAGAACAAACAAAAGCAAAAAAGAAATGGGGAGAAATTGACATTAAACTGTGATTTTTAGTTAAGTTAAAAATAAGAGGGTAGTAAGCATTTTAGCAAATTCTTAGGATGTTAGAAGGACATTGAATTGTTATGTACTGGTGGCAAGGATACAACTCATCCTGCAAAATGATATGGTGACAGGTTTCAGGAGTCAGGAAGCTATCCACATCCTTCGATCTATTCAATCCCCTTCTGTAAATCAAGCCTAAGGAAAGAACCCTAAATACAAAAATGTATATAAGAACGCTCCTTAAAGATCCATTTAGGATATGGGAAAACTAAAATCCACCTTTCATCTCAGAGTCCATCCATTCACCTATGGTTATGCTGACACTAACACTGATGAGTCTGAGTATTAAGACCCAAGAACACACAAAAAATGAATTTGATAAAAATGCAAGGAAATAAACAAGATACAGTGTCTCTATATATTATGATTACTGCTATGTAAATGTGTGCTGGCAAAGATAAGTAGAATGAACTATACAAAATTACTCTAGATATGGAAGAGTTATTGGTAAGATCTCTTTTTTAAACTTTTTGTAATGTAGCAAGATTACTTTATCATTGTGGAAAAAAATTAAATGTGGTTTAAATCATTTGTTTCCACTGGAAGATGGCTTCCCTGGTTTTGAGGAAAGACAGAGTGAGTGGCAGGGGAAAGGACTTCCATGTGTTATGTATTGATGTGTCAAATAATTCACATTCACAAATAATGTGCTTAAAATAATGTAAAGGAAACAAACAAATCTGACCCACCTCAAGCAGCTCAGTCTGCCCTGAGTGTAGGGCAGCTGTAGGGTGTGGGGGGAGGCAGAGGGCTGGAAGATGGGCAGGATGAGGGAGCTTCTTAGAGGTGACCCCAGATGCCACATAATGAATTAGGGCAACCAGACGCTGCTGAAGTCTTTGTTAGGAATATAACTTAATAAACTACTTATTATTATTTAAGACTCAATGACCTACTCGAGCTGCCGTACACCAAATCATGTCACTTCCACAGTTACCACCCCATTAGTAGTAGTATCCATATGGTCTGCAAGGTTAGTCCAACACCCCGTTACGTCATGTGAGGCCCTACACCATCAGGCTCTTTCTGGGAGCTTCCTTGCCACCTCCCACCCCTCCAGATGATCCTAGATTTCTGTTACAAAGACCCGCCAACTGTTTGCTGATTGTATCACGCTCTATGTTATTATATACACTATTTCTTCTACACAGAAAATTCATCCAGAATGCACTGTCTTGGAATTCTGCTCATCTTCCAAAATTCAATGAGCAACAGTTCTTTACCCTCCATGATGTCCCTCCCTTACAACATAGAGGAAACTGTGAGAGCCTTAAAGCTGGGGACTGTGCCATCACTGTCCAGCAAGAAGTATAGAATTCGGCTACAGTTGACCTTCCATACACATTAGTTAACTTCTTTTTATCTTTTCCTGTTTAATCCTCAACAATTCCATGACACACACACATACATACACACATACACATCATATATATATATATGTATATACACATATATACACACATGCATATCACATATGTGTTTATAGGCATACATATATACATATATATCTAATAAATATATACACACACATATATATACAGATTGGCTCCATTTTAAAAAAATGAAACTAAGTAGCATAGAGATTAAATATCTTGGCCAGAGTCTTCTCTAATTGTCTGGGTTAGAACTTAACCATAGGCTTGTCCTGGAAACGACATAATTTGAATCGCATTGCTATAGATTCTGCCCCTAAACAGACTTCTAGCTGAGGGCTATAGACTGAATATTTGTATTCCCCCAAAATGCATATGTTGAAAACTAAGCCCCCAAAGTAGTAATATTTAAAGGTGGGGCAATAGGAAAGTGATTAGGTCATGAAAGTGGAGCCCTCATGAATGGGATTAGTGCCCTTATAAAAGACACCCCAGAGAGCTCCCTCACCCCTCTGCATGTGAGGACACACTGTGAAGATGTCATGTATGAACAAGGAAGTGGGGCCTTGCCAGACAATGAATCTGCTGGTGCCTTGATCTTGGACTTCCAGCCTCCAGAACTGTGATAAATAAACTTCCATTGCTTATAAGCCACCCAGTCTACTGTAATTTATTACGAGCACAAACAGACTGAGACACCCATGCTCTCTCCTCCACACCATTACACCTCCTCAATCTTTTCCAGCCACAGCCCCAGGGATATCACCTTTATGTTCACAGAACGCTGAAACAGAAGAGCCCTTGGGAAACCTCTAATCGAACCTCACTCAGCTCACAAACAAAAGGACTATCTTTCTAAGCTCAGGTCTCTTTCTATCATCCAATGCTTTGAAGAAGCTCCAAAGTCACAAGACTCCATCCAGAAAAATGTCTGCCTCTGGCTTCACCTCCCCTCTGCCTGAATGAACTGTGAGGGATGACGAGGCTTGGAGAAGTCTTACCTGTACTAACCAGGGTGCTGTTATTATACAGGGTCCCTAGGTGAGGCCCGGACAGAGACAGGAATGTGTGGAGTTTGTTGAGGTAATACCGGAACCGGGGCCGTGTTAGGACTGATCGGATGATGATGTTGCCAAGAGAATGGCCTATGAAGCTGTTTAGAGACATAAATGGTGCACTTGAGTATGACAGCAAGAGGCCAGTTGACAGGAGAGTGCTGCGCTGAGAGCACAAAAGGGTCAGCTGCCCTCTACCTCCCACCGGATTTAGGAGAACTGGCAAAGAGAATGGGGGCTGCTAATCCTTCCCCATCGGGTTTCCAAACTTTGGCCATGTTAAGCCTGAGAGGGTTCTCATGAATGGAAACTTCTGTGCCCAATGTGGTCAGAAGAGAAGTGTTGGCATCTTGCTCAGCACTGGATTATTAGAGCAGCTCGCAGTCTGGTCTCAGTCCACCTGGAGCATCCTTTCTAAAACAGGCATCTCAGCATTGAACCATCCTGGTCATTCACAGGATAAAATCCCAGCTACGTAGCCCAGCTTATGAGGCCATTCATGACCTGACTTCTGACTACCTCTCTAACTATTCATTCATTCATTCTCCTGTATAAATTTACTGGGCTGCCTGCTGTCAGCCCACACTACATGCTCCCCTCCTACATGCTCTGCTCCAGTAGGACTGCTACCCACAGATCTATGGATCCAACATATTATTATTTTCAAATTAAACAATCATTTGTTGAAACCCTATTATATGAGAGGCAATGCCTCCCTGCCTCTTTTCATTGGTGTCCTTTTATTTTTACCTAACCTCTTTAGGCCTCTGTTTCCTCGCCTGTGAAATAGAGAAGTGGTATTTTATCTCTGAGGCCTAAACGGGATAATGCATATAGAGGACTCATCATTATGTCCACACACTGCAGGTGCACAAAGAATGCAAGCCATGTGCCATCACCCTGGTCATTTAAACATTTAAACCAAGTTATCTGTTACTGTGGAAGGACACAATTAGCACTGATTGAAATCCTCTCATTGGGTGGGCAATCCATTCAGCTATTTAACACATTATCTCAGTGCTGGTCCCACTTAATTGATGGGGAAGCAGAGGCTGAGAGATTTAGAAAGCTTCCAAAACATTATCTGGTAGAGGCAGGATTCAAATGTGTGAGTGTTAGAAGAAGAAGAAGAATTCAAACCCAGGAATATTTATCAAAGTCCGATTCTTTTTCTACTGGGCTACAAAATATTTATTCTCCCGCATACACAGTATGACAAACATGGGTGTGTCAAGCAGCCCTGGTTTCATTTCTTCTCTGAAAGTAATCTACTCCATTAAGAGTCACAAGTTAACTTATCCCAGTGGTATACAGAAGGCATCATGCTGAACTTGTATACAGCAAACACTCAAAAATGTCACCCCTCTTCCCCCAGAATTGACTACCTGTGGTTTCCTTTTACCTAATTCGGGATATGGAGAGGTTGTACAACTGTATGTGCTGAATGATTTCATCTAATAGCCGATCCGTCATGGTGTCAAAGTCTGCAAATGTATCCATCTGGAAGAAGAGAGAAGAAACGGGTGTTGAGTGGGGTCAGAGTAAGGCCAGGCTGTGTGTACAAGCCCACCTTCCATTAAATATCATGGCGCATTCTGGGAGTGAGCTGAAGCCTGAGGTTAGGGTACAGAATGGGATTCAAAATCAGGAAGAAGTGTCCACCGATTGGGGTTCTAATGAAGAAACTGAGGGTGTCGAAGAATCCTCGGTTAGGAGGATGACTGAAGAGTAAGAGGAGAAACAGAGAAATGGAAAAGAGTGGGGTGGATACCACCTACTGCCACATCTTGTGCCAGGTGTCTCACATACCCACTGGTATTGCTGTCCCCACCTCACAGAGGAGGAAACAGACTCTGAGAGTTGAGGCAGGGCATGAGCCGCGATTCACACCCAGGCCTGCCTGACTCCAAAACCCAAGCCCTTTCCCCAGCCCAGCCTTTACACTGTGCTACCAGGCTAAGCCCTGAAGGCAGAGGTCAGCTTTGAGAAGGTTCTCAAAACCATCTGTGTCTTTGGAAGGAAGGTCAGAGGACATGGGAGCATAAAAGGAAGAGGAAAAATGTCACCAGTGTCTTCGAATATCTGAAAGGGCAGACATGGGGAAGACAGACTAGATTGATTTATATAACCTTAAGGACTAACTTTTGGAAACATAGATGGGAAGTACAGGGAGGGAAAGTTGGGGTCAACATAAGAAAAAATTGTTTCTCGTAAGTGGAGTTGTCCTACAATGTCATGGGCTACTTGGAGCTGTGCTGAGCTCAAAGATATAAAGGTGAGCAAGAGGTTTCATGACATTCATGAAAGTGGGGAAGAAGAGGGAGTGAAGAGAAGGACTTTAAGGCTCATTGTCACCTGCCATTCAATGAACCTTGAGGCACTAGAGGGACAAAGCATACTGGTCAATTACTTAGTGTCCGCGGAATAAGAAAGAACCATGTTTGCAGGCCAGCTCTCCTGCTTACACAATCTGTGTCTTGGATCTGTTCTTCCCAATCTGAACCTAAGCCTCCTCCTAGGTCTTGAAGCAAGATACTGCAGCCTACTCCTTAATGTCAGTTTAAAGATTAGGTCAAATATTTGCAACACACCTAAGACAGGCACTGTATGTTCATTACCCTCTAGCCTTTCAGACCCTGTTTTCTCATCTGTATATTATTAATCTAACATGAATTATTAAACAAATGGTAGTAATTATGAGGCCTGATTTGACCATGATGAGAAATGTTCTGGAAGTCAGAGTAGGTTTAGAACATGGTATCAGGAACTCCCCAACCAGGGTGATTGTAAAGGAATGTACTAAAAATCTGATGTGCCTGTCAGATTTACAGCTTTCAAGAAGTAATGATAACATGTTGTCCAACATAATCATTCCTGATGACCAACCCCTCCAGATAAGTTATGTCTGTAAAGATCCAGCTCTCAGTCCCTATGGCATCTAGGTCAAATCCAGCTGCCCTGGGGGCTGCATCAGAGAGCAGCTGGATATGCAAACCCAGAAGGCTGGTTTCCTGACCTTGTTTCCCTAGCACAAACCATAAACACAAAGTCAGCAAGTGCTGGTCACTCACTTTCCTGCTCTCGTCTGAACTTCCTGCGCATCCTGAGTCCCCACCTCCCTTAGGACATGGGTCATATTGGGCACACATTACAGTTGGGTGTCCACAGGTATTATTCCCCCCAGAAGGCATGGATGGCATCTTTATCTCCAGGTCAGACTGACTATGGAACTCCGGACAACTCGCAGAGCCTCTGTTCCCTCTTCCATGAGAAGGAGATGATGGCGTCAACACTTAATAGAATGACCGTGAAGACTAAATGAAGAAACAGGTACAGAGTGCTCAGCACATAGTAGATGCTCAAAATGATTCTCCTTCCCCTTCCTCCCATTTCTACTCTTCACTACATAGTCCACGACTTTGCATGTAGCAGGTGTCAAAAAGAAGGCAACAGAACCGGGCATTGACAGTGGAGGAGCGAGACTCTACCTTCCAGTGTCTGCTTGTTGATTACTCTCTATACAGCTCTTATTTTCAATGGTCATGTGACCCTTTAGTTATAAGCACTTCTATGCCTCTAAAGAATACTTAGCACTCATCCATCTCAAGTCCCATGAGGTGGGAATCAACAGCAACACTCCACCCAGCCCCACCTCTTGGTCATAGACTCTAAATTCTCATCTACTTTGACACCTCATTAGGGCTTCAGGCTCCACCTACCTTGAAATGGCAAGGACCCCACAGTTCACCTTTGACTGTGAAGGGTCATAATGCAGCTCCATTGGTTACACAGACACCAGCAGCAGCTCCCTTTCCCCAGTACAAACCCACAGCTACCCAAATCATTTATGCTCCAAGCTGTCACCCACCCTAATGCCCTGTGCGGCCGAAAGGTCTCTGTTGCACATGTTCCCACTTGTTACTCTTTCCTCACCCTCTCAAAAGAAAAAAATGAGCCCTTTCTCTCCAGACCATCCAAATGCCTGGCCAGTGTTATTTGCAAGGTCCCCTCCTTTCTGTGTGTCCATAAACTGTCACGGTGACTTTAGGAGGCTCATATAAGACATAACTCTGGGATTCTTTCAGTTCTGATAGTTTCATTGTCATACCTGATTCTTTTCAGACATTAGGAAGTCCAGTTTTCCTCCAGGGAGCCCAAGTTCTATGAAAGTCTTTACCAGCCGGAGGTCTGCACTGTTCCCTAAAATGACAGATAACCCCACCCAAGACCCATAGTTAATCATATAAAAGCTGACACACAAGGGATTTATTTCCCCTCTTCTCTCTTTCCTCCATTTCCCATCTTTTTCTTAAGCAGATAATAAAAACAACTAAATCAAGTCCAACCCACTGGTCCTGTGCTCCCCCGATCCCACTGCCCCTCACACAGGATCAGGGCCTTTCTAGTAGTCCTACCTCAATGGAATTATTCCCTGATATATAAGTAGGAGTCTTGTGAACATTCTATACACAGGAAGAGTTGGAGGCACCTGCCTCCCCCTTCTTCCATAGCCAGTTCTGTTTACTCAGGACATTCTGCAAGTGGTGCCCATTTAATGGCTGATGTGGCACCAGGTGACATCTACAAGTCTCTTCTCAAGTTTCGTACTTAATACAAAGACTATTGTATTGTATTACATGTAACCATAGTTTCAAAGTAGTTTAACTATGTAATATAGTTTATAACCAATTTTATATCATTCTTTATGAAACTACCAAGTAATTCAAAGAATGGGGAAAGTGCTACACAGAATTTGGGAGAACTACATGTACTTGAGACAGTATCCTTAATCTTTAAGGATGAACAGACACACCCAAACACCACCTGTGATGGTGGCCCGTCAGAGCATACACCCAGACACGCAGGGTCATAATCATAATATGCTCATGTTCTGTTAGGAAATATTTTTATTTTGTGTTATTAAGTTAAATGTTACTCACTCCTTTCATTTCTGACAATAAAATTAGGCTCTTTGATCCTGTTGTTGTTCTTGTTTAAAGCTACCTAATGACATTCCAGGACCTGGCTTTAAAAAAAAAAAACAGTTGTATGTGTTTATATTTATCATGAAGAGTCTAAGTAAGGGATGGCAATGGTCCCCTCTCCTTCAGTTACGAGTGAGAGAGAACTTTCTGCAATTTAAAACTTTCTCAGAAAATGTGATTTGATAAAGTGTTAAGTTGAGAACATTTGCAAGAATATAGATGTTCGGATTTTGCACACCATAAAGAGTCGTGAGAATATGCATAACTGGTATCGATTTGTTCACTTCTCTGTCAATATAAATATATCTTCAGAAGTGGATTTTGAACAAATGGATCCCAGAAAACTCTGTAGAGTTTAGAAACCTTTAAAAGAAATCTGTGCCTGTTATCAGTTGTCTTCTTGTTGACTTTATGCCCAGGTCATAATGCTGTAATCGACAGTTCAGTTTTCTGACATAGAACAAACACTGGTGAAGCCGCTCTATCTTTATAACATTCCTCTTCTCCCACAAGCATGATAGAAGAAAAGGAAAGCCTGCAGCCAGACCAGATTTCTTCTTTTAACAAAGAGATTGAGCATCTTGTCTCATGTTAATTTAAAATCAGACAAGTAAGAGGGGCACACTGGTCACACATGACATGATGCTAAGTTGACCATAGATCTTATGTTAGGAATACATTGAGTTGATGAGTGAGAAAGTTACTCTTTGTCTTTCTTGCAATCCTTCTGATTGGAAGTCCCAGCTAAAAACAAGTACATCTTCTATAGCTTCTTACTTCTTTTTTGAGAGGAAGATTGGCCCTGAGCTAACATCTGCTGCCAATCTTTCTCTTTTTGCTTGAAGAGGAGTGGCCCTGAGCTGACATCCATGCCAATCTTCCTCTATTTTGTATGTGGGACATCACCGTGGCATGGCTTGATGAGTGGCATAGGTCTGTGCTTGGGATCTGAACCTGTGAACCCCAGGCTGCCAAAGCAGAGCGCAATGAACTTAACCACTACGCCACCAGGCTGGCCCCATAGCTTATGATTTTTTAAGAGAGAAAGTGAGTCTCAAGCTCAGAGTTTTTTGGCAACTGGACTAGTCAAACTTCAGTAAAATTATTCTCTTTTCTTTGTAATTATTTTTCATATTATTCTTCATGTGTGGCAAGTGACTCTAGTGTTTCATTTGTGGCAGTTATTTGAAGTTTCTTTTTTAAAATAAACGTATTCAAAAGGCATGCCAATTTCAGTATTAATTTTGAAATTATAGTACAAGGTACATGGATAGAGTTAAAATAGGGAAAGGAATGTGTAAATAGCGAAGCACTGAATTCAATGCAGAGAGAGGAAAGCTCACCAGAGAGAAAGCTTAAGATGAGCAAAGACACAGTGGTACGAAACGGCCTGTGTCCCTGGAAATGGGAGTGAACTGGATTGAACTGGATCAAGGAGGGGAAAGCAGAAGATGATAATGGGGCGGGTCAGAACATAGAGAACTTCCTATGCTAGGAGGTTTCTAAGATCTCTAAGGTGCGAGTTTATTTTATTTTATTTTCTGAGATCTACAAAGAAAGGTTTTCAGTAAAGGAATGGCATGACTAGATCTGGGAAGATTTTAAGAAGATGACTCAAACAGTGAGGTGGATGAAGGTTTGGATGGTGGAAGAAAGGAGATTGTTGGTATAATGCTGAATGAAACCATGGGCTCTGGAGCCTGATGGCTGGGTTTTAATCCTGGCTCATTCACATGAGCTGTGAAACCTCATACAAGTGACTTAGCTGTGCTCTCACTCAGTTTGCCCACTTATTAATGGGGATAATCACAGCACCTACTCTGCAGGGCTGTTGTAAAGATCAACAACATTAATATATTTTCAGCATCTAGAATGGTGCCTGGCCCAGGGTGAGTGATATGTAAATGCTGGTCTTCATCATCTCAAACGTATTATGTACCACTGCGTTATTTGACACTTCACCAAATAGATCTGTTGACTGAGTGTCCTGGTATCCAAGGCATATAGCTGGAAATTGATGAAGACAAATAAACGCATTACTCCCAGGACCAAGAAGAATTAAGAATATTAAGAAAAGTGTGTCACGGAAGCCTAGCACACCACCATTCCCTATTTAATTATCATAAGAAGAACGTGACCACACGTTTTGCAACTCATCACCTGTGAAGTCTCAGAGAAGTCCTTTCTCTCCTCTGATCCTCAGTTATATATTAGAGTCCACAGAAAGTGGATGCCAAGATTCTTCCAGAAAACATATTCTACATGCCAATTTTCAGATCAATTGTGATTTAAACTTGAGCTCGAGGAGTAGAACTCAAATGCCTTGTACCTCCAATTTATCTGATCACTTTCTTCAGCCAGTTAAGGAGAGGCTGAAATTCATAAGGGGGTACTAGGAGCAAGTGCTTGCCTTTTGGTCCAGGCTGAACTGCGAGCACAAGATCTTCAGGCAGAGCTAATAAGCTCTGTATTTTACAGAGCCTTTGGACTGACCGGAGAAATCCTAAAGAAAGCTGACACCGGGGACTAGGTCATTTGGGGAGGAGAGTCACTTTCCTTGCCCCTTCTCTCTTCCCTTGGACTTCTACTGCACTGGCAGGTAGTTCTTTTGTAGCATTCAGCTTTCAGTTCTGTATTTGCTGATCTCAGTAAATTAAGAAATTTGAAAATCAGAAACCACGTCAGATCTCTGCAACCCCAGAACTTGGTACAGTCTGGTATGCAAAAGGTGTCTATAAGTGAGAAGTGAATAAAAATAGGCAGTGAAGTAGATTGGGCCACTAACCTGAGCTCCTCAAAATGCATCCACTTATCCATTCCACTCCACTTCTTTCTTTCTTCGTTTTTTTTTTTTTTCCCATAGGAGAAGGAAGTGTTCCCAAAAGCTCTAGGGTTCCATGATGGCAGAGCCTTGGTGCCTTCAAGAGCAACCCAGTGTCCCCAGCCCCATTGAGAAGACAGGCTGGCACACAAGGATTTTTTTTTTTTTCTTTTAGAGGAAGATTAGCCCTGAGCTAACATCTGTTGCTAATCTTCCTCTTTTTTTGTCCCCAGTACACAGTTGAATATCCTAGTTGTAGGTTCTTCTATTTCCTCTATGTGGGACATCACCTCAGCGTGGCATGATGAACATTGCTAGGTCCAGACCCAGGATCTGAACCTGCGAATCCCGGGCCCCTGAACCAGAGCCGGTAAACTTAACCACTCAGCCATTGGGCTGGTCTCTTCTTTCCTTATTTTATTGATTCATGCATTCCATTCATTCATTCATCCTACTTATTCATGCATTCCATTAATATTTTCATCCCAATAACACATGCATTGCATTCATTTACTCCATTTCTTCTTTTATTTTTGTTCATTAGTTCCATTAATTATTCATTCTATTTCACCCTTCCTTCATTCCACTGATTTATAAATTTATTTATTCTATTCATTCTTTCACTACAGTAATCCATTCATTTATGTAGTTCATTTACTCAGCAGATTTTTGTGCCAGAGACATCTTTTCTTTGGGAACATCTATGTCATTTCCCTAGATTCAGCATATTTACTGTCATTTCATGGTTGCTAATGGAACTGTTGAATGAGTATCTCATCTAAATCATAAACATTACAAATTTTTTATAGTACAGAATTTTGAGGAGGAAACCTTTTGAGAACTCACCATCTAGGCCATGGACACAGACTACCAGGTGAATCCCATCTTCCAAATTTTCTTCCTCTTCCTCTGGTGGGAAATATGGTATATCAGAAGCTAGTACAGATAAGTCACTGTACAGAAATCCATCAATCTTCAGTTCTTTTTTAAACTTTTCTTTGGCCTGATAAAAACTGGAGAATACACTAATTAATCACAAGCCAAGCTGTGTATTCCATGTAGAATAGGAAATGAGTTGAGCTGGGATGTAGGAGTGATGAACATATCTACAAGGAGGTATCTGCCGAGTGCAAAGGCTGAATATGAGAATTCAGGGAAGATGCTGGTGAGGGACGTGTGTTCCGACCAAGGAAGCAGGAAAACGCTTGGGAAAACCAAAGGCTATATTGGTTTTGGTTCCACAGATTTCTGTGTGGTTCCTGCATTGAATAGGACTTCTAAGATTCTATCCAGCACCAAGGATCCACACAATCTTTAAAAAGACCTCCCCAGAGCAAATGCTTCTTAACCTGGCTACAAAGCCACCACGGCTTGGCCTCCACCTACTTCTCCAGCATCATCTCCCAGCCTCCAAAAATAACACATTTCCCATAATCCCCTGTATGAATTATGTTGCTTGGCTTTACTTCCGTGTCTTTGTGACTTCAGGTCTATCTGTCTGAAATGCCTTTCCCACCTGACTATCATGTTCTTTGCTTGGTTATCTAACAAGGTAGTGGTTAAGAGCACAGACTCAAGAGTCAGACTGCCAAGGGCAGAATCTCAGCTTTGACACTTACTAGCTGTGCGCCAACCACTTAACCTCTCTGCATTCAGTTTCCTCGTCTGTAAAAGCAGAATAACACCATTATCTAATTCACAAAGTTGTTTTGTGTAGTGATGTAATCTATGTAAAATGCTTCGAACAGTACAAATAGATTAAATAGTGAACAAAAATGTTACCTATTACCAGCTATATCATCATCATCATCATCATCATCATGTCTCTTCTATTTTTTCCTGAGCTTAAGTGTCATCTCTAAAAAGCTTTTCCTGGCCAACATCTCTATTAACACTCACTGCCCACAGCTGATTATCTCCTTCTTCTTCTGGTTCAGCTGTGCACACGTGAACCATTCCATTTACCCAATTGCCATCATTTTCTTCTCTCATCTCTCTGTCTCCCTGATAGACGATGAGTACTACAACAGCCAGGAAAACACTGGCCAGGCATTGGACATGCTTGCTCTTTATTTGTTAAATTGATCACGTGGCATATAATAGGTTTTTAATAGACTTTATAAAAGAAGGAATCCAAAGTTTACCTGCCTGTGTAATTTCTTTGGTGGATATCTTAACATGTAACTCTTTAGAGTTTTGTAAAAGAGTAAATAGGATGGGATGTTTTGATAAAATTATTCTATAATATATTTAATCAATATACAGTATATGAGGGAACAATATGAATACAAACTCAACAGAGGGAAAAAGGGATGGATTCTCGCATTGCAAAAGGAATGATAAATTTAAGAACCACACAAAAGGGGCTTGAGGAAAATCTGACGAAGCAGTCCTACCTCCAAAGGCTCTTAAAGAACTGACCTCGCAAAATGTGCAAAGATAGAGGTACAGTGACACTCATAAAAGAGTTGTTTATCACAATAAAAACTGAAAAGAAACTGAAATGTCCATCTCTAAAGGATTTTGTTAATAAATCATGATACATCTATACAATGGAATATTGTTTAAACATCAAAATGATAAGGCAAAAATAAATTTATGGACATAAAAGATGCTTCCAATATATTAAGTTGAAAATAACTTAGAGTTTGTGCCGAATTATCCCATTTTTGCATAAAAAGAATATATAGATAAGGATGCACATAGAAAAAAAGTGTGGAAGTACTTACACAGTGGCTGTATTTGAGAGATGGGCTTGATAATTTTTACTTTTTTATACTATTCTACATTTCTGACTTGTATGGTATAAATATATGACTTTAAATCAGAAAATAACTGATATCTCAATTTTGAAATAGCATGCATGAAATTTGACAAGCGTGGAAAAATCTAAATGACTGTGCTAGGATAGGTAAGTCATTATCAAGCTCACCTAAACATCCTTTCACTGATTTCTTCCTCCAACTTGCTGGAATGGGTAGAAACGACTCCAAAAGAACCCATAGGTTGATGAGTGATGGGAAATGGGGTCTGTTTGGAAGAGAATCCAGCCCTGGCAGGGGGCTCCTTTGGCACAGATGAAAAGGGGAGACATGTGGCAGTGCAAGACACAGATAAGTTGACAACCTCCACAGCTTTCAGGCTCTCCAGAGTGAAAGTCTCTGTGGGGGTCAAGTGGGATGCCATGACAGAAGTGCCTGCCTGTGGCTCCTGGTTTCCCAAAACTTGGGAGGGAATGGTGTGAGTCACAGTGGAGCACACAGTGCCTGCTTCATGTCCAACCTCCAGAAAGGAGTTAGTGCGTCTGCTAAATGCTGTATCATCAATGATGCAAGGTGAGCTGCTTTGCTCACCTGTTGAATCCAGGCTGGTGGGCTCAGCATCTGATGTACGGCTCAATTCAGACACCTTATGGTGACTGATACTCTCAACATCTGAGATATTGCTGTTGGAAAGAGCTCCTTTCCCCTTATTCAAGTCTTTAGGCATGCCCTTAGGGGTCTCCATTAGTGGTCTAGAAAAAGATCTGTTCCTAGGGTTTTCAACTGCTATGACACGTGGTATTTTTAAATTAAGACCTGTGGTTTCAACACCTGGAGGGTTCTCAGTCCTGCCATCACGACAACAGGGTCCTTGAGGATCTAACTGACTCTCTTTACCTTTGGGGATGTCTATGTATCCAGGGCCCTGCGGATTGTTAGCATCTGAAACCACCTCCACAAGGGAATGGTTTACCCCAGTGTCCTGGATTCTGGAGCCACCACTAAGTTGACTGCCGTGTCCTGGGGGATCTATGCTCTTGATGTGCACAGCTGAAGTTTCAGCAAGACCTCCATCTTGCTGCATAGTGTCTATATCTTCAGCAGACTCCTCTGGGCTACTGATTTGGGGTGCAGATACAGACTTGGTCAATTTGGTGAGTGCCAACTCCCGCTCCTCCTCCTCAAAAGGCAAAGAGCTAATGGAGGTGAGGGATGCCTGGATCCCACTTGGCAAACTCGTATTACTCTCTGTGTGACCACCCTCTAAGGAGTTCCTGTGCAGGGCATGTCTTCGAACCAGCTGGTGCAAGACTTCCCGGTCACTGGGTAAGTCCAGGGCTCTGCTTCGGACTTCAGACCAGGCAACAGAGCTTGGTTCACTCTCAATGCCTGAATCAGAGATTATGGAAGAAGATCTCTTGATGACCCCAGATAGCACTGATACTTCGTCCTGCTCCTCTGTGTGAGGGTCCTTTGGGGAAGCCCTAATGTCCAAGGGATCCCTCAAAGTAGAGCTTAGTGGGTCACAGGGCTCAGAGGGGATGAGCTTCAGATTTAGCAGCACCATCTTACTCTCTTGGTCTGTTCCCTTTCCTAGAGTACCTAACTCATGGAGTGCTGTTTTTTGTGAAGAGATGGCATTTTGATGACTTCCACCTGCTACTCCTTTGCTTAGCACAGCTCTGTCTATTTCATGGTTATCTTGAGAGTGCCCACTCTCATGCTTAGCACTACGAGCCACTGTGGGTTCAGCTCTGCAGGGGTTCTTATTGCTAGATTTCACATCAATGTAGGTCAGTGCTGGGGCCTGGCCATCCTCTGGGCCCGGACTCCTAGGAAGGTCCTCATCTGCCAATGGAAGCATTCCAACATCAGACTTTTGGCCAGTCCAACATTCGTCTTCAGGTAAGCCTGCTTTGTTCTGGAATTCACCAATTGTCAGATACACCTGAGATTCAGAGCACACGTCCACATGATTTGGGGTGGTTACATTCTCATCTGGCTCTGGACACCTGATGACCTCTTCATCAGAGTCCATCTGGTGTGGTTTCATGGTGGGCAAGACAAGGTCTTCCCTAAAAGATGATTTTCTATTGACAAGATGGTTCTCTTCTCTGTCTTTTAAATTCATTATTGCAGGACTTGTCACTGGAACATCAAAATTAGGGTAAACACTCAAATTATGCCCTACAAGAAGAAAAAAAGAAAAAATAGTATATTATAATTTAAGAATCTATGTTCACAAATTATCCAAATGCCTGATTGCAAAATAAAGAATTTGGCTGGACTTTGTTCCTGGTCCCTGGGAGATAATCTCTAAATTCTTGTAATTTCGCAAGTGATAGGAAGGTCTTTGTTAGTCATGGTGGGCCCTGATAGCTTATATACTAACTACGTGACTCATGGTGAGCCCTGTGATAATTTATGCAAAGGAGATGACTGAGGATGGGGAGCTGGCCATGCCAGAAAGACCAACTATGTGATTAGTGGGTTGGGGCTTTGAGCCAGGTGATAACAGTACAACCTCTGGAGAGGGGTGGTGGGCTAGGGATTGAGTTCAATCATGTGACCAATGATTCAATCAACCATGCCTACATAATGAAACTGAACAAAAACTCCTGACACTGAGAGGATTGAGTAAGCTTCCTTGATGGGCAATACACATTGAACGACCAGTCCTGGGGACATGGAATCCCCATGTTTGGGACCCTTCCAGACCTTGCCCTGTGGCTCTTTTCTTTTGGCTGGTCTTTATTTGTATCCTTTATTACAAAACTGTAATCATAAGTATAGCACTTTCCTGAGTTCTGTGAATTGTTCTAGCAAATTATCAAACCTGAGGGAGTTGTGGGAATCCCCGAATTGGTAGTCAGTTGGTCATAAGAGTGGAAGGCCTGGGTAACCCCAAGCTCGTGGCTGGTATGTGAAGTGAGGGTAGTCTTATCAGAGACCGTGCCTTTAACCTGAGGTTTGACCTAACACCAGGTAATTAGTGTCAGAATTGCATTGTGCTAATGCAGCTGTCAAATATTAAAATTCTTGATTCTCTTTTTCCTTACGAAAACATTTTTAATAATTACCACTTTTAAATATTAAAACATTTCTCCATCTTATGTACTGTATTTATAGAGTAGAAAGATAGCTTTGAAGCCAGGAAGGCCTGGTTTCCAGTCCTGACACTGACACTGACCAGCTGTGAGATTTTGGGCAATTACAAAACTTAAATACGTTTTTTCCTAGTTAAATTCACTTTCCTCAACTCCAGGATGGGCAGACTCATAGTAACCAGCAGGCCTCACAGCCATAGCTCATAATAGAGTTACGACATGAAATGTTACATGTGGGGAAGGCATATTTCTGCTTTCTGCAGAGAAGCACGGCCAAGCTTGAGCTCTGCAACCGAGGCAATTATCCTATGAGGCATTCAGACCACAAGAGGCTCCCGGATCACTTTGGTCTTTACAGTAGGAATGACGGGAGCCAAAGTATGATCTTCTTTTTCTTATTTTTCTTTAGGAGAAACTATTATCTCTCTCATTCACTCTCTAAGTCACCCCTCGCTTCCCTTTTCTCTTCTCTTCCATTCTCCTCCCCTTCCTCCTCCTCTCCTCCTCTTCCTCTTCCTCTTCTTCTTTCTCTCTTTCTCTCCTTTCTAATAATGCATAATTGGGATAAAATAAGTGCCTCCCATGTGTCTGTTTGTACCACAGGTCTCTTGAGAAAGCCATCTGATATACTATTTAATTTCCATATACACCATATGCAAAAAGGGACTGGGCTTCTATTTTCTTTAAAAAGTTTGAATCCTCCGTATGGTTTTAATGGAAGTTAAATGAATATTATCACTATTGTATGTTATTGTGCAGTAAACTGTGGAGACACTTACTTAAAAACTGCGTGGGGCTTTCAGACACCATCAGCTTATAGCATTGAGTGAAATTTATGATTGGGTCAAGAATTAGAACAAACATTGAGAAAGAATGTATCTCTTCCTTACCTGGACACATTTTTGCATCTTGAGAGACTGAACAAATTTCCCTTCTTCCAGGGGAACTTTCCCACACCCTACAGCATGTCAGAGGTTCTCCGTTGCAAATTCCCAGGGCCACTCTACCCACACATAGTGTAACACCTACCACCATGTTATGATCCATTTGCGCATTTCTTGTTCCCACTGGGGAGAAGAGTTTGTGTTTTAGGATTATCCATATCCCCAAAGCAAACATCATGACTGGCACAGAGTCAATGAATTGTCTTCATAAAATGCATTGAGAATAGAATAGAAATGCCACAGAACAAAGACTATTATTCTCACTAACTGTATTAGTTTGAAAAAACCACCACTTCAATGTCATTTAGTCCCACAGACAGCATGTTGACAAACTCTATGTGCAAAGCCCTGCACTAGGCTATAGGTTAGGGAGAGGGGAAGCGGGGATCAGTTAGAAAAGTGAAACAGTCTCTGCCTTTAAGGGATTTTCAAAATATAGTGAAACATGCAGATACAACACAGTTCACTTTTCTACCAAAAGAATGTGGGCTGTATCCTGGAGAATATGAACTGATCTTCTTCAGACACGGAGATACGAGTCACACTAGTCAGGAAACAGTGTGGGCAAAAGCCCAGAAATCTGAGGTGCATGGTCAGGTATCAGTTGGATCCCATGTGGATGGAGCAAGAGTGAACGGAGAAAGTGGGGAAGGCATGAGGTTAGACAGGTAGAGAGAACCACAATATGGATGAACTTGAATGCCCTGTATGAATGAGGAGTCTGGGCTTTAGATCACAGGTAACAGGTGGATTGGTGGATTCTTGACACAAAAATGAAAGCTTTATCAGATTTATCATAGACAGTTAAGACAGGATGCAAGATTTTGGTTTCACTACTATGACTACGGGAAAATGAGGGTAGCAAAGGGTCTAATTCAAAGAGAATGGATGTAGAGTCAGATATTAACTAATAGCATTACTTGACATGCATTCCTTTGCACCAGACACTCTTAAGTGTTCTATGGGTGGATTTATCCACACTCACAGTAGCCCTATGGAATAGAAAAATTACAACCCCTTTGCCCAGTTTCACACAGTTACTAATTATTGGAAAGAGAGATTCAAATGCAGGCAGTCTAGCCAACTGTTAAGGTCTTAGGCAAACTGCTCAATTGCTTTGGGACAGGGGAATGAGGAGTGGGTGGGAGAAGGGATTGTAGATAACATAGACAGACTTCAGGAGGACACAGTAGGTATTCTAGCCATGGGACAGTAGTGAACCATGAACAAATGGTATTATTTTAATATGGAAATGAAAAACTTTTATTTCTCTTTTTTCACTACACTAAAACAACGGAATGCAAATCTGATAACCTCTTTTGCAAGTTATAAATATTAAGGCCACCAAGCCCTTGAGGAAAAAGGAAATAGCTTGTTATTTGCTAATGCTTTTGCTCTGGGATTAAAGAGTCACCAAAAAGTACATTGTGAAAGAACAGGAAGGTCAAGGAAAGCTTTGGGTTTTGAGTGGGGACATAGATAACTCTGTAGAAGCAGTCATGGGGACAGGGATGGATCAGGTGAGAGATCTGCAGAGAGAAGTCTTGGGAAGATAGACAGGCCTCTGAGAGCAACTTCCTTGGGGTCTTCTAGGAAAGGGGGATTATTAGTGCTTGGGTGACAGACTCAGCTGAGTCTCATGTCCCAAGCAAATTACAGAAGCTGCAAAGTGATGCTGCTCCTAAAAGACTACGTAGATATGGGCAATCGTGGCTTAGAGGAACTTGCACGGGCAGATGGCCCTAGAAAGACCTCCCCCAATCATAGCTTGCTTCTTTTTAAGACTCTAGGGCACTGATATGGTGGGTGGTGAAGAAGGGTTGGCAGAGAAGCCCTAAAAAGAACGAGATTGACTTTCCAGCCCACACAGCAGGACGGATGGGGCTCAGCTGATGTGAAGTTGATTTATAAAAAATAAAGATATGCAATATAATTGCACACATGAGTTGAGGGACTGAGATTTATATGCACTAGGATATCTATTAATATGTATAGGAAAAAAGACTGGAAGGCAATCTGTAACAAAGGCTAATAATGATAATATTGGGGAGCCTGATGGTGGGTACTTATTGTGAGTTTCTTCTCTAACTTCAAATTTTCTGCAGCTAAATTACATAACTATAAGGAACATGAAAATATATACATATGTACGCACACACACACACACACAAAGTCTCCATGCAAAGCTGTAAGCTTTTTTTGAGCAGCTGGATCGGCTGCCATCTCTAGAGCTAGTATACATTTTAGGCGTTATGCACAGTGTTGACACTAGATGTCAGGGTAATACTGAGAACCAAATATCCTTGGTTTGCAAGGTTGCACTGTCCTAGGAAGTCACCAAGACTTTTGAAACGCCCTACAAATCTCAGATTGCAGAAACTCTGAAATTTAAAAGGGCCATCATTTAAACGATGGGCACCCAAGCATCATGACTTTGAACACCTCACAAAGAGATGGTAAGGCCAACCACAGGCTTTGGAGTTGGAGGGAATTGCTTTAAATGCTGACTTTTATAAGCTGCATGATCTTTCATACAGGAACTCCTTGTACCTCAGTTTCTCTCTGTGAAATAGGGCTTGTGAGGTTCCTTTATACGATTAAAAAGATAAAACACATAAAACCTCTAGCATAGGGTCTGGCATTTTCTGGTGCCTTAAGGGATCACGGGCTATTTCAGCTCCGTCATCTATCATAGCTTGTTGGGTTTCCGTGAGCAGGACTGCGGGAGGGGACAGAGAACTAACATACACTGAATGCCCTGTTTGCACTAGGCTCCCTCTCATTGACCTATCGGTTCATTTACAGACTGTGCAACACCAGCAAAACAGACTGAAATCGGGATACACACACACAGATACACACAAACATGTTATCTTTTCTCGCTGAATTGAGTCGTTCATCCACTAATCCATGCATTGATGTAGTCCACCTTCTCAAATACTGGGCCTGGCTCGTGGCATAAAGTAAGCACTCCATAGGAATCTGAACTGAATGCATTAAAGTTCAGCAAGAAGCGACTTTATATTTGAATTGCACATTTCAGATAAGAAAGGATCTCCATCCGACGCTCACAGAACTCTGTGGAGGGGGAGAATTTCGTTCCCAGTTTGTAGGTGGAAACACTGGGGCATCAGGTATATTTCTGCCCTAGAGGGGTCAGGAAGGGAGTCTTTACTAGAATTGCCATTTTGTTACACTGATTGGTCAATTTCACTGCACTAAAGTCATTTCAAATAACTAGTTTAACCTTAGTTTTTGCTTCTCCTCTATCAACTGAGAAATTACTTCATTAATTTGGTCCCATTGCTTTTGGGGACACAAACCAGACACCTGAGTGGAACTGACTGGAGAGGCTTATTCTTGAGTCTTTCCAAAACAAAGCAGACAAACCTGTCACAGGGCAGTCCACATATCTGTCCTCAAAGATAACTGGCAGGGTGTTCCAGTCGCCGTCGATGTCCAGGCACTCAGCAGGCAGCGGGGGCATCGTGGTGAGGTACTCTGAATTCCGGACATCCAGAGACAGCTGGCTGTGGGTCTGCGTCCTGGGGAACATCCCGCCCGGTGAGCATGCAAGGAAGATTTACATGTTTTAAAATTGTTGCCCGATCCCCCTAATTCCAAGAAAACATTTAGAAAATGTTCACCAGACTCTGACAATAGACCACCTGTCTGTCCGTCCACCCGTCCTTTCTTCCCAGCACCTCCGCTGCCCTCAAAGCCACAGTCTGCTTTGAATTGGAACTGGTCTGGGAACTGAGTTTAGAGGTCACGGATCGTATGACTAGGGGCATTTATCACACGCCATTGTAGTGGAATGCAATAAACACCACTCCAGTGGATCAGGAGCTGAGTTTCTAAGTAGTGAGGAATCTTAAATTAGCACTTTGGAGGAAAAACTTAAATTTACATATCCTTTACTCTTGCTCTTTAGCCTCCTATAGCACTTAAGCGTCCGAATCGTATTTTGTGGCATTTCAATTAACAACCAACTAATTTACTGCTTCAGAGTAGGTTACTGTGTGGACATTGGCATCCTTGATTAGGGTCTAACTTCTTCTAGTTCAGAAACCATGGGTTTTGATTACTCCGTGTAGGATACACAAATGCCCCGTATTCTTCCTCCATGACCCAGACATCCTTCCACCAGTAGGAATTCGATTCCAGAGTTTGAAATAATCAGTATTCATAATGCAAAGGCCGGGATGATTAAAAGAACGTTTAATTTCCTTCTCCTCAACTCCCTGCAAAAGGGAGGGAGTTTATTTACCCCTATGAAGGGAAAATATTAACATTCCATCATTTTTCTCCATGCCGACTGAGCATGTGTAGCTAGTGTCTGTCTATCTGTCTGATTGTTGCTCTTTCTGGGCACCCCCTCACTCACTTCCCAGCTGTGTAGGTCATCTGCCCCCCTTAGAACTGCTTTGTAGCTGTGGAACTCCACACAAGTCCAGAGCAACCTTCCCAGGGCAGCATTCTCAGTACCAAACATAATGAAGATGAAAACATATGCACATGTTAATTTATATACATATATTTAATATATGTATAATAAGTATATTTTATTTCTTATTTCTCAATTAGATTTTAACCTAAGAAAGAAAAGGATAAATAAATTATTCTCTTCCTCAAAGCCCCGAAGGTGGCGGCAACTTCACAATTTTTTTAATCTTTCTCTGAATATGTATGTATGCATTTATTTATTTATTTATTATTACCTTTTGGTGAGGAAGATTGGCCCTGAGTTAACATCTGTTGCCAATCGTCCTCTTTTTGCTTGAGTAAGATTGTCTCTGAACTAACAGCTGTGCCAGTCTCCCTCTATTTTGTATGTGGGATGCTTCCACAGCATGGCTTGATGAGTGGTGCACAGGTCCACACCCGAGATCCAAACCCTCAGACCCCGGGCTGCTGAGGCAGAGCACATGAACTTAATCACTACGCCATCGGGCTGGCCCTGTTTCTGAATATTTAAATGGGATTTTGCTGCAATCAATTCTGTACTTCTTAGCCATCATCTGAACCTGGAACTTTTAGCCCCGTTTTTCGTTTATTAAAAAAACTTTATTAATTGAACACAAATGTGCATGGGACCGTGTAGAAAGGCTAGAGCATATATCTAGAGGACTGAAACAATTCTGGACCTAAACAGCCAACAGAATCATGAATAAATCGGGTTCTTAGTCAAGTAATTACAATACGGCAGGACGGGCATTGGAGAGTCTGGTCTAAGTTACTTCATGCAGGGAATTATCTCCTACTGAGAAGCAGCTTCTTGTGCATAAGGACTTTGTGAATGTGACTAAGTACCCAAAACAGTGGTTAGCATGTGTTAAAAAACGACTAAAAATTCTAGGACACATATACAATGAGATGCGACCTCACACCTGTTAGGATGGCTATTATTACAACAAACAAAAAAACCAAGTGTTGGCGAGATACGGAGAAGCTGGAGCTCTTGTACACTGTTGGTGGGAATGCAAAACGGTGCAACCTCTGTGGAAAACAGTATAAAACTTCCTCAAAAAATTAAAAATAGAAATGCCATATGATCGAGCAATCCCGTTTCTGGGTATCTATCCAAAAGAATGGAAATCAGGATCTTCAAGAGATATCAGCACTCCCACGTGCATAGCAGCACTAATTCACAATAGCCAAGATAAGGAAACAAGGCGAACATGCACGGACAGATGAGAGGATAAAGGAAATGTGACACAATGGATTATTATTCAGCCTTAAAAAGAAAAAAAAAAGGAAATTCTGCAATATGTGACAACATGGATGAACTGTGGGGACAGTATGCTAAATGAAATAAGCCCGTCAGAAAAAGACAAATACTGCATGAGTCCACTCAAATGAAGCATCTAAAATAGTCAAGTTCATAGAACAAAAGAGGAGCACATTGGTTGCCTAGGCCTGGGGGGAGTAAGAAATGGAAAGTTGCTAATCAAGGGGCACAAAGTTTCAATGAAGTAAGATCAGGAAGTTCCAGAAATTTGCTGCATGGAACATATAGGGCCTGGTTCATTACCTGTTTATTTCAACGTCCGGTTTACTCTGACTCCAGGAGAACAGTCCAATTGCATACAGATACTGTTATTTTAGAGGCTGAATAATCCACATTTTATTTTCTCTGGTGTATTCTTTAGGATAATGATTCAACACAATGCAGAGGAGCCACAACAAGGAGGCTAGGAGTGTGGGATCTGGACTCCGACAGATCCATGTTTGTATGACTTGCAGCCATGTGGTATAAGATAAGTTACTTAATCTCTCTGAGCCCCGGTTTCCCCAGGTTCTTCTTCTGTAAAGTGGGGATATCAACAGCTCCTAGCTCACAGGGTTAATGTGAGCATTCAATGAGCCAATGCACGTGAAGCCCTTAGCACAGCTTCTTAGCATAGCCATCTCAATAGACTAAGCTCCCAGAAGGGAGGGCAAGCGTCTCCTGTGCTCAGCCCTATATTCATAGCATCTCGTAGAAGGAATGATTTTTTTTTAAAGTTAGATAGTGTTATAATTATCACTACAGAAAACATTAAAGAGTGATATCTCAATTATCACTGTTACAGAAATTAAATCATCAGTATAGGTCTCCATACACATCAACATTCTCACATTTATTCATTCAACAAACTTTCATTGAAAACCTCTTTACTGTGTGAAAAGCACTGGCTAGACACTGGTAAAACAGAAAAGCGGGACAATAAAACACATCCTTGCTACTAGCCATATGAATCATTTTTAACTACTTTTAAAATATTGCACCTATAGCAAGAAGTAATCTTCATTTTACATGGCAACGCAGTACCATCACACACACTGAAACAGAGTTTCAGAAACACTTCTTACTCTCACTGTCCATCCTATCTTGTCCTATCCTATTTCATTTAAAAAGTACTGTTTCAAATCCACTAAGTTGATTTCATAGTCCACTAAATGATTGTGACCTATGGTTTGAGAAACACAATTCAGTTTGAGCTTGGACAAGATGGGTCTTGACAGGTGAGTTTCATCTGGGTCGCTTGGTCCTTCCATGTGTCCATCCTGATTTTGGAGGGTGGATCTGTCTCATAGGTAAACAGGATGACCTCCCGGCTCTGATCTCCAGGTGAGCATAGTCCTGTTCATGCACAGTTGCCAGCGTTGCATAGAACCTGTTTACCAGCTCAGAGTTTCACTTGTGTTCACGGCACTTTGTACCTTTCATCTAGTAATTTTCTCAGTCTGAAATAAAATTTCCCTCTCTGTTCAATAGTTATTATTCTCAACGACTTAATAAAAAGTTTACTTCCTCCTGAATAATACCATTTCTACCTTAGTTTATGCTCTATTATATAGGTTAATATCTACTATTAATTAAACGATTACAAATTTCTCTAATCTCTAAAGTTATAGAATGAGACAAATATTATAATCTCCTAGGTATTTGCAGGTCTCATCTCTTACCTGCTTCCTATCTCTGCTCAAATGTCATCTTGCCAGGGAGCCTTTCCCTGGCAACACTATGAAATAGAAGCCTCTGCTCCTCTCACACTGATAGATATTTCTCTGTAGCACTTAGCACATTTGGCGTGTCATATTTATTTATTATATGTCTTTCTTTACTAAAATATAAGCCTTGTGAGATAGGGAATTTGTTTTGTTCACTGCTGAATATCCATCACCCAAAATAGTGTCTGGCACATAGTCAACACTAGATAGGTATTTGTCGAATGAAGGAAACTCCCCTTTACATCAAAGTGACAAGAATTTCAGTAACTGGTTTGATGTCACAAGTATTATAATTACAGAATCAAGATTTCAAACCATATGTATGAGATTTGAAATCCAAGTTCTTTCCATCACACTCATTTGCCAGTTAAAAAGAAAAAAGGTATTAATCATAATTGTCATGGTACAAAGTTCAAATTCCTTATCCTGGTCCATGAGGCCCCACACGGGCTGGTCCCTACCTACCTCATTGGTCCTCCCTCCCTCAGCTTCTCCTTCTTGCTGGCTCCATTCTGCCTATACTTGCTTCTTGCTGCTCTTCAAGAACTTTCGTTCCCATATAAGAACGTTTACACCAACTATGCCCTCTGACTAAAGTCTTCTCCCATATCAAGGTATGGTTTGCTATAACCCCGTCTCTATTCAAATGTCACATCCTCAGAAAGACTTTCTTTTATCACTTTGGCTAAAACAGTCCTTATCCCACACCAGTGTTGTGTTGGAACGAGTTCATACTGGTTCACAAGAGCCAATTGTACACATCTCTTCCCAACTCCATGTTCAGTGGTAACACATTGATCAGCAAACACTACAGACCGGAGTTTACTGTTTGTCTATTTTTGCTCATCTGAGAGCTAGATGTTAAATATTTATGAGGACACTGGCTGTATCCCTTCTTATCATTTTCTGTATCCTTACCTTGATTTGGTTTTCTTTACTTGTCACTACCTGAAATATCATTCATGTCTTGCCCTTTTCCCCACTAAAATAAGTGACCCATGAGGACAGCATCGTGACTTTGTTCTCTGCTGCATCCCCAGTGCATATGTGTACACTTAACATTTCTATAACTCATCAGTCATCACCTGACATTTTCTGAGCAGAGTCTGTGGCTTGCACGGTGTGTTCCATACACATGAATGTTCTCATTTGGTCCTTACAACTATTATCCTGCCCATTTTAAGGATACTAAGACTATGTGAGTTTAAGAAAAAAAAAAGAAAACAGCAACAGCAACAGAACTTTCTCAAGGACCCCCTGCAAGTAAATGGAGGAAGCGGATTTTGAACCCAGGTGAGCCAAATGCTCTATTGTCTGTACTTTGTCAAGTGGTTGGCATTCCAATAAAGCTTTCCCAGGAGGGTAGTTACCTCTTGTCTATCACCTCCATCTGTCCTCAAGCCCCTTGGAACACAACCAGGGCCTGGTGATCTAAGGTTTATCTATTGTGGTGGTGACTCAGGAAGAGGTTTCCTGCAGTAGTCCTGATTTGCTCTATTTTGCTCAGTGGCCCTCAAAGTTATGTTTATATTTGTCAGACTAACTCTTCCAATTTTAGCTTTAGAAAATATATTCAGCCAGTTCTAGCTGGGGGCTGGACTGAATGAATGAATGAGTGAAAGACTCTAGATATTTCTAGACAAGCTATTTTAACACGCAGACGTGTTTTCCTTGGTGCCCCACTCGCTTTCAGAATCCATGAGGCAAACTTTAAATATCATTGTACTTTCCAAACAGAATGAAGAGTGGGGAGAAAATAAAGTTACAAGATGAGGGGGAAGGGATCTTCAGGTCTGTCTTGAGTGATGGGTGAATCTCAAGGGTTCCTCTTGCCAGGTTTGCTGTGGCATCTCAAACATTATTCCACCCACATTGATTTTCTGAGATGAGCACATCATTCAGAAACAAAAAGAAGCGCTCAGTTTTTAGCAAAGGCCAAAACATCTCAGAGGAAGCCCCCTTCCTGCTCACTAGGGACATCTAAGAGAGAGGATGACCCCATCTTTTGTCAACTCTCTGACTTTTTTGAGTATCTTTTCATTTTTTCTAGAAGAAGGCAAGCTTAGAAATTCATTAGAGCTCCTAATTAGGTAGTTCAGTCTTAATTCTTATGCTAAAAGCATTTTCTAGCTACTGCAAAGTCTCAGACAAATTCTGGTTTTTTTTGGGACAGAACTTGTGGTCACACCACCTGCTTCTAACTCATTTTGCAAAGAGGACTCAGCACAGATGTCTTCAGGGACCTAGGAAGTCTTGATTCTGTCTATAGAACCATAATGACACTCAACAAAAGAAAACTTTGGCTGTTGACCTTCTCCGCCACCTGCCAGCTCCCGCCTCTGCAGTTTGCCTGATTCTCTTCTGCAGAGAAAATGCAGCCTGAATGTGCAGAGGTGGGTAAACTTCCCTCCTTCACAGTCGGAGATGAAGGGAAGAAGTAACTTTGAACAAGAATGCCTTGGGTGGCTACTTTTAGGCTGTGACGTCTGCATGCACTTGGTTACTTACAGATTTTCCTGAAAGGTCAGGACGGAGAGTTTTTGGTGCTCCATATAAAAGAAGGCCTCAGAAAACCTTCGGACCTGAGGAGTAAAAGAACGTAAACAATTTAACTCATGGGTGAGTACTACCTCTATTTTTTAAAGGGAAATTGAGACTCAAGATGGTAAGTGGAATGTGCTGATAGGATGAGGGCTAAGCCCACCACCCAGAGGTTCTGAAACAGCAGTCTCTCCACCCTGCCACGCTTCCCTCCCTCATTCGTATCTCTTAGCCCAAATCTGGTTTATGAACACAGTTTAATGCATCTTTATGAACCCGTTCTTGCATTGCTTTCTGTCATTTTTATATTTAGGTCTTGTTCTTTCTACTAGAATATAAGACACTCAAAAACATAGACCATAAATAAATGCAGGTGAAACAGAGTTTGCAAAGCCAGTCATGTAAGTGTGTCCCCTAAGTACTTTGTAGACTCAGATATTTGGTCCTCTTGCTGGAAATGAGAAGACCCAACAACATCTCTTCTTATGTGTTACTACCTGCCCATATACATCCAAGCTGGTGGTAAAGAAATACACCAAGAACAATGTCTTACATTTGAAAACATTTTTTCAAAACACTTTCAAAACACTGTAATATCTGTTTGGATAGGCTCTGGTATCACCGGGTAGCCAAGGCAGGTAGTTTATGAATGACAGTACAAAGGTTTGAGAGGCTGAGTTCATGCAGTCCCACTGCACGTTCATAGCGGAACCAGGACTAGCACTCAGCTCTACAGAAGTCAATACCAATTCTTATTCTGCCCAATGAACTGACTGTTGTGAAGCTTTCTCGAGAGCTCACTGGCATGTGATTGGAGAATTTATACCGTTTGACAGCCTACCCTCAAGGTGTGATGTTCCTGGGTGAGATAAGTGGTCACTTGGGAGTGTAGCGTCACTGTATCCAGGAATTGGGTCCACAGAGCCATCAGGTGGGAGGCGAGCCAGGCGAGATCCTTACTTATCTGCTCGGCTATCTTCTCTGGATTGTTCAACATCTGGAGAGGCAAAAAGGTGGTAGTGAAGGACCTCTGCTCCATGAAGCTACCGCAGCCTTCTCCCTGACATCTTTATTGATACCTCTGCTTTCAGTGAATCTCTCTCCTTTCTCTGGACTCTACTCTCTACCTTCTATCCCATTACATCCTGAACTCAGTAGTCTGCAATCATTCTAGCTCCCACTTATTAACATCTACTAGTCGGCAGGTTGAACACTAGGTGTTTTATACATGCTTCCTACTTAATTTCTGCAGTTACGCTTTGGTAGAGTTACTGTAACCATTATTTTAAAGAAAAATAAAATGAGGGTCAGAGGGATTAAATAGCATGCCCAAGGTCACACAGAGCTGAATTTCACTGCAGAGCTGTCAAACCACAAAGCCACAGCACCATGCTGCCTTTACATCGTGGGTGTTGTGAAAACATCTTCCAAGAAACAATAAAGCCTTTATAACCTCAGAGCACCTAACTAGCTGGGTGATTTCTACACGGTGGGTGCTCAGTAGCCCCACCACCATCTTCCCCCCATCACTCCAAACTTCTTAAGGAGGATACAAATTTGCCTTAACTAAAACTTGAAGGAGTCACTCTAGAGAGGGCCTGAGCCTGTGGGGGAATCTTTGGATAGCTGCAGTTTAGAAGTAGGAAAGCCAGCAGCTCTGGGGGTAACTTGAAATCTGGAGAGGTGAGAACAGAGATCAAGTCTCTGAGAGGCAGCCAGCCAGTTTTCTAGGCCTGACATTCTAGTTCTAGGCTTCATGATTCATTCAACAAGCATGCTATGAGCATCTTCCATGCACCAAGCATGTGCTTAGAATAAATTGGGACACAAAGATGAATAAGAAAGGGTCTCTGCCTTCAGGGATCCTGATTCAGTGGAGGATATAGGAAAGTGGATTAACAATTAAGAGTGGTGGGGATCTCTCACTCAGGGAAGATGCAGCAGGGACACATAACCATAGCCGTTTCAAACCCAACTCCCCCCCCACTTCTTTGTCCTGTGCCTTAGTTTCTTCATCTGTAAAATGAGTATGCTAAGCAAATAACCATTTATTGGATGTAATAACATATAGGGAGACTAAGTTCAAAGCCTAGCTTGAAACGCTGGAAGTTGCTTTTGCTATTCTTGGACTAAAGGCTGACGCTAGATGAATGCCTGCTCAGTGGAGTGCGCCATCTAAGAGTAAGAAAAAGAGGAGAAGAGGAACTCGGAACCTGGTAAGGCTGTTTAATGTTGGATATTGTTACTTTATAATTAATGACTAGCTTCCAGATACAGGGCATCTTTCAACTGTAGCATCTACAAGCTGCTTCTTCCAAGAAGAAAGATCAGTCTTTGATGACTACACAAGCTACAAAAGTCCAAGATGAGAGAATGACCCTTACTTTCTTCTAAGGGAAGCATTATTTCCAGCACTGGCTCTATAGGGAGGCAGGCATCCAACCGGGAATGTCCACTCTTGGTTCAGTGCCATAATCCATGTCCAGAAGTGTTAAGAGGCAAAAAAGTCAGGATTGGTTTGGGGAGGGTGGGGGACACGGTCAGCCACTGGAAAGCCTTCAAGCTGGAGAGAAGCTTTCAAATGGACTAGTGGTGGTTCATTTTTAGATTCTCCAACCAGTTACCCTCAATAATGAGCGCCAAGCTCCTGCATCAGCATCTGGCGCCATTTTGCACTGACAATGTTCTCTGCCTTACCTCTGGCTACCTTCCCTTCTCGCCCAGGGCACACCTATTGCCCCAGCCACACTGACCTGCTCACAGTGGCCTAAACACACTCACCTATTTCCAAACACCAGGCCCTTGATCAGTTCTCCTTGGACTGCCTTCTCCTCTCATCTTCCAATTCCCTTTCTCCTCTTCACCACTTCAGCCTTGTCTGGTCTCCACTGGGTAACTGTTTCAGGAGTCAGTGGAGTGCCCCTTGCTTCTGATGATTCTTTTGAAACTTCTCCTGTGCTCCCTCGATGTGTTTATGCACATGTAAGACTAACCTCTTGCTCCTAGAAGCCTACTTGACCTTGCACAGACCACTCTCGTGGCACCACTAACCATACATTGCTTGTTCGACTTCCTATATCCCTCCTGGTTGCATTTTGAGCTTTACCCTTCTCGGTATTCCCAGTACCTACACAGTGGCTGATGGATAGTGGGAATTCAGTAACACTTTATTGAATAAATCAGTGACTTTGCATCAATCAAAGGAATCACCCCATTCCTCAATAACTGGGCTTCCCTTACTGGGTTTCTCATTCTATCACCCATAGCTCTCTTCCTTCCACTATAGCAGTATTGGCAAACACAGCATGAATTCTGAGCTCAGCCACTAGAGTGAAAAGTAGAAAGAGAAAAACTATTCATTAAATGTGTCTTTGGCAGAATTATTTTTTCCCCTAGTTGATTACAGAAATGGCTCCAGATAAAGTTATGGAAGCTTCTAATTAAGCCACAAGAGGACTTTCCTACTCTCACAGATGCCTGAGCCTGTGCAATTACAGATGATGGGAGTGGAGGGGTTTCTCCAACGAGACCAAGGAGAGACCCCTCATGCTAACAAGAAGGCAGTTTGGACCCAATGCCATTTCAGGTGGAGCTGCCAGAAAGCTCGCACAGCCACTCACACTTGCCACTCCTCCCACACTTTGTGGCTGGGCTCTAACCATGCTCCTTTGTTCTTTCACTCCTTCTCTCACCCTTCATCCCCTTGCTCTGTTTATTGAGTATCTCTTATGTGCTAGGGGTGTGCTGAGCTCTGGGGAGCCAAAGATAAATACATCCAGCCCCAGAAGAAGCACATGATCCAGTTATAGCTATTTACTTAGATAATTATAATATACCTATAAAGTACTGTGACAGAGATATATACTGAATTCTGTAGAAGGGTCATGGAAAGCTTCCTGGAGGAGGTGACGCCTACATTGTGCCTTCAAGATAAACAGGCATCAGATCAAGAAAGTCTGCTTTACCTTTCCTGAACTAGCCGTGTTCTTTCACAATGGTCCTCAATCCTGGCTGCACATTAGAATCACTGAGAGACCATAAAACTACAGATATTTGCGTCCATCTCAGAATCTCTGAGGGGATAGCCCAGACACTAGAATTTTTAAAATATTTCCCGGGTGATCTTAATGTGCAGCCAGGTTTGCAAATCCCTTCTGGATCACAACTCCTTCTGCGGCAGACGTCATCATCTTTGTCTGGAATCACACACACACACACACACACACACACACACACACACACACTCTGCAATGTCTGCTTGTGTTTCAGATCTCAGCTCAATGCCCCTCATCTAGGTGGACTTTCCGGAATATATGAGAGGGTGTTTGATAATAACAATGACAAAATGACAACTGATAATTACGAGGCACTTTGGGCTAAGTGCTTTATAGAAATTAATTTGCTTAATCCTCATACCAATCCTATCAGGTAGGTGCTATTATTATTACCCCTTTTTGATGGATGGGGTAACCAAGGCTCCAGGAGGCTAAATAAGTAAGCCCAAGATGACCTAGATAATAATCACATGCGAGCTGACTCGACCCAGGAAGTCAGGCTCCAGAGCCCACCATGCTATGCTGTATCCCATTAATCCCACTACACCATGTGTAGATCTGCTTGGTGGATCCTATCCCACAAAAGAGTGCCTTATGTCTGCTCAACCCACCTACCAATGCAAAAGACAGGTGATATGCCCTGAAAAGTGCAAACTCACAGGATATGCCTGGAGACCCTGGCTTAGAACTCACCTAATACCCCCTCCGTGGGCCATTTTTCCCTTTAGATGCTCACAGGCTTTTTTCATAGCAACGTTCAGCAACAGTTATCCAAGCTCATCTATTCACATGACTCGGGACCAAGAGTGACATGGATGGAAGAAACTTCCAGTCTTTCCAAGAGACCTTTACCCATTCAATGAAACCTGAGGCCTCGGCTTGGGTTTGACAATTACTTTAGGTAACTGTTCTCTACTTGATGCTATTTGGAGACATTTTGCATGTTTGCTTCAGCAAATATTTATCGAACACCAAGTAAGTTTTGGCAGCAGGATACAAATATCAATAGAATTCAATCCATTCCACGCAGGAGCTCATGGCTTATCGGATGGGGGAGAAAACGCCACAAATTGTTTTTTGTCACTGAGCAGTGGCTGGATTAGATGCTGCCCCATTGAACAGAAGAGGTCACTCTGGGAGCTGTCAGGTCCCAGGAAGTCACCTGGTTCCCTGAAAAGCAAGCATTTGGCTTGAGCCTCACAGGATGAGTGGGATTATGTGAAGAATGAAAACCAGGTGAGACGGGAGAGGCAGGCAGAGGCAATAGCCCGGAGAAGGGCACCGGGTGAGAACACTGATTTGCCCCTGAAACGACTGGAATACCATGTGTTGAGGAGGGCTGGGGCAGGCGAGGCAGGCATGCTGTTGATTGACAGGCATCCCTAGCATCAGGCCCTCATCTTGCAGGCGAATGGGATCTGATCGGAGCTTTTACACAGGATAGTGAGAGTTGTCATGTGTTTGGTTTCCATGCTCACTGCAGCCTGCTCTGTGCGGGACGTCATGCAAAACAAAAGATGAATCAGCCAAGGCCCCTGCCACCTAGGAGCTTGCAGTTACAGAAGTCCCTGTAAGCGGAGCAACCCTAGATGTGGACAGGTCCCTCTGGACCCGTGGTCCTCCACATTCAAGGAGACAGGCTCTTGAAAGCAAGCAGGCATTGCTGCCAAGGTCCCGATCCTCAGTAGGCATGCTCTGGAATGCAGCCCGGGGGCCTTGCAGCTGGGGAGGGTCACACTGGGGAAGGGAAGACCCAGCTGAGGAGAATCAGGTTCTGTGCCAGCCTCAGAGCATGGTGGAGGGGGCGAAGGAAGCAGTGAGGTGCCTAGTGGATGTCAACAGGAAGGGTGTTCCCTAGTGGAGTTTCTGAGTTTGGACACTATTCCAAAGGTGGTCCGGGAGTACCAACTGTGCTGTCATCTCTTGGAGACGTGTCAGAAAT